GTCGCGCGTGTGTGTGTGTGTGTGTGTGTGTGTGTGTGTGTGCGTACATGTGTGTGTGTGTGTGTGTTTCTCTGTGTATATTTCCGCATAATTGTTGTCGGCATAACTTAGAAGGCTTTTATGGTTTGTGATAATATTTGGTATGTGGGCGGATCTCAGGAAGTAGAAGGTTAAGGTCAAATTTGGGCCTCCTAGTGGCCGAACTTGGCACTGCAGCAGAACTTCCCTTTTTTGTATCTTTCGTCCTGGACATGCTACAGGAGAAGTACTAGTAAGTACTTACACTACAGGAGAAATAAACTGACTGAACTTTTAGCGTACCTTTGGGGGGAATGTCCTAGCTTGCGAATGATGTATAATCTACAGTATTGCCTAACGCATGGCCAAGTAGCCAGAAGAGTCCTCTTCGAGATCATCAGAACGAATAGTCTCGTACGCGTGAGTCGACCATTCCGAGGAGCTGGCGCTTCCCTGATTCTCTGTGGCTATGACAGCGTACTGCACCCTCCCTCCCCGCCTCCCCTCGGGAACTAGGACGTCCTCATACTCGCTTCCGTCTTCTCCAGCGTCTGGACCGGAATCCTCTGGCTGTGAACTAGGGTTCTCGCGTGAGCCGTTCCTCTTCCCACGCACGTAGCACACGATTCCAACGATGGCGCACAGGTTGAGAGCGAAGACACCACAGCCTATGGCTACGCTTATCAAAGTAGGGACGTGTACAGTGCCGGGACTGTTGCCTGTGCCTTCTTCTGTCCCTCCTGTTGGCGAGGAGGCTGTGGTAGATGAAACAGTGTTCACCGTGGAAGTTGACATTGGCCATGGACGTGTGGAAGCTGGAGTGGTGTTCGATGTGGAGGTTTTTGACGTTGTCGAGGGACAGCTTAGTTGGTGTGTGGCGAGGGAGGACAGTGGTATGTTCCTCAGGGCAGGTGGGGACTGGCAAACGATTTGGTTTGACCAGAACGATGACCTGGCTGGCTCTAGGCTGCAGTCACAGGACCATGGGTTGTCATGCAGTTGGATCGAAGGCGTGGAAGGTGGCTGCTGGCCTAGGCTGTCGAAGATATCATGGGGCAGGGTTTTTAACTGGTTATGATGAAGGAGGAGTTCCCTGAGTTTGTACAGAGTTGAAAAAGTGTCTCCGTGCAGCGTTGTCAACTTGTTGTATTGAAGGCGAAGGCATGTAAGTTCTTGTAGTCCTTGGAAGCTTCCTGGTTCTACAACACGTATGTTGTTGTTTTGGAGGAACAGTATGTCAAGGTTCTTTAGGCCGGCAAACGCCCGTGATCTGATTGCTGTGATCTGGTTATTGCTGAGGAGAAGACTTGTCAGAGATTCGAGGTGTTGAAACTTTCCGTCCTCGAGTTCAACAATCTTGTTGTGTTGGAGGCTTAAACTAGTCGTGTAGGCTGGGATATTGTCAGGGACTGCGGCTAGGTTTTTGTCCTCGCAGTTAACAATACCGCCACTACAGCTGCAGTCCCCACCCGTCCAGCGAGGGGTCCTTGGTCCCCGTGACGATCCGCAGGCCTGTAGAGCTGCAGTCAGTCCGACCAGGGATGTGCAGACTGCTAGGATGGCTGCAAGGCGAAACATCTTCGGATTTTCTCCTGTGAGGGACAGATAATAAATATCATAAACATCCATTCACAAGTCATCAGTGAATTCTGCTGTTGGTCAGGAAACAAACAATCCAACCATATATGGTCCGGACTTAAACAAATGTACAAAATACTAGTAACCTCTTAGACATTTCATGAAGTATTATTTAATGTTCCTGGTACGCGAGGTACTTTTGAGCTCGTGGGAACAGTGATGTTGATCCGTGTATATGTTCCTGTGAATGATTTAACCGATTCTGAAATAGAAACGGAAGCCGTGCATCAATGTCAACTTATCCCCAGGTTCAGGACCTCTCTGCTAGTTGGGAAACGATACAGCGAAAAAAATTCCCTTACTCTAATAGTATACTTCTTTGAACAAAACTAATATTAATGGTATGATATTGGTGCAAAAAAACCTTAAGGAAAAGTTGCCAATCATTAAAAAAATCCGTCATTCCAAATCTAAACATGAGATAGATTGATCCAACTTTCTATAAAAATGACAAGAAAATTAACTTAGAAAATCCGGAATCGCTTTAGGATATCGCACGATGCCTTTTGCACACCGCATTTTGAGGCATCCAGTTACCTTAAACAGCTGTAAAAATAAGTTCCAAGTTTCAACATTTTATCCACCTATAAGTGAGGAAATTACAAGTGAGGAAAGTCCCAATATCCTATATGAACGAATGATTCTAGCCTCCAAAGCATGCCCAAACCTGGGGGGGATCTATTTTGTGCTATTTTCTGATTGCATGTAGACAACATACATTTGTAGCCGGCCTGGTTGAATTACCCCCGTTTTTAGAACTGGGCTAATCAGAAAACAGCCGAAGACCACCAAACCCCCAGTTCTGTAAGTATAAGCCTGCTACGGAGGATAAAATGATTCCATGTTATGACAGTGCTTACCTGAGAGTTAGAAACGCGATGTACACCCGAGAAGGACTGGAGAACCAAGCGGCTGGACTCCACAATGGTCTGGACGCGTCTGTTTTGTGATTATGTACATGAGGGAACATACATACTAGTGTGCCAACTTTCCGCCACATACGGTTAAATCAAGAAGCACACACGAATTGTGAACTACGTGTGTTCCGGGGAATGTTGATTGGGTGCCAAATTCGAACTTATTAGACTATATCAAGTTGTCAGGAATTTCCTGCTTTCGCGGAACCTGGCACGTGCATGTGACTGTACCTTTCCTACAAGACGTCATCTCATCCCCAGATACAAAGCTGTTCAACCTTCTTACTGCTTGCTCAACGGAATGTTACATTTTATGCTATAGATAAATTCAATTAAATGAGTACCTAGCTTCGGTTAGGGACGTCCCTCGGATAGGACGTTAAATGGAGGTCCCGTGTTTGGGGAGAGCCACACCCCACGCACGTAAAAGAACGCACCACACTTATCGTAAAAAGGGTAGGGGACCTTCCCGGTGTGAGTGCTTCAAACCTTACAGTCTGGTCTCAGGCCTGACATCTTGTAAAGGTGATAGTCACCTGTTATGTCAATCCTTCCATAAATGTGGTAAATCGTCATAAATAAATTTCATCCTAGAAGGTAATATCCCTCATTGTGTACAGATAGGTAAATATATCAAAGAGTTTCTAGACCTTAGAACAAGTAGTATAAGTTGATTCATATACTGTTTTGTACGTAGGTCAATTTTGTGGTACCCATGTATTGTCTGTATGTTTATACGTAGTTTAAGACCTTATGAAAGTCCCTGTACATTTGTTGTGTCAATATATTCTTCATATCTTTCTCTCTATATATATATTTGGAGTTCTTGTACAGAGGCTAATTGAAGGTAATGTTACATGTAACATAAAAATAAGGATATCAACAGTAGAGGGTATCACAATCAACAGGTTACAACTGGTCACATCTGGCAGAGTTTTGTACTCCGAATGACTCATAGTTAGCCAGACAGGCCGACATCTGAACAAGATAACATTTCACACTTCATCAGAGGTGAAATCAAGGTCAGTGTTGACACTGTGAGTCACTTCCTACTGGCCATATGTTTTGCTGACTGCCATGAGCTCTGCTGGTTGTAATATCAAGTTACCTAAAGACAAGTCTCCGCAGGTTGTTGTGGAGCTAGAAGTACATTGTCATTAGATAGCTTTAAACAATGCCTAGAGTTAGATGTTCAAGGGTTAGGTGTAACAAGTCGATCAGTGTAATGTAGCCGATGCAGGCTATACAGATACAGATAGGAAATGACATAATCTCTGTCCCTGGGTTCCTTAGAAACTATAGATATGCTTCCTGTAAGGCAGGATATTCCTATATCAGATATACTTAGTACTTGCCACATCCCGGCACTGTTAACAGAAACTGAACCTGAGACATGATGAAATTCATAGTACAACACTTGTGCCTGGCAAGCCGATTTAGCTACCGGCTCTGTACACTTGCTGGTCCCATGCCAGCCAAAAATCTTGGCAGGCCAGTTTTAGTAAATTGGATGGCACCCAGGCTACCTGTGAATACCTTGTGACAAACTGCCATATCATCATGAAAGTTCATCTGTGTTGGTAGTTACATGTTCAAAGTTACAACTTTTGGTCCAACACAAAAAATTCTCTCACCTAGAGCTTTCGACCAGTCACTCTGGTCTTCCTCAGTAGACTGACCCAGCCACATGACAAGCTTCACTGGGTCAGTCTACTGAGGAAGGCCAGAGTGACTGGTCAAAAGCTCTAGGTGAGAGAATTTTTTTGTGCTGAACCAAAAGTTTTAACTTTAAACTGCGCCATGGAATCATTCGAAATGGTGGAGGTTTCTCCAATGTATTTTCCATGGCTGGACATGTTCAAAAGGACACAGAGAAGGGCCACATGCTCTTGAATTGTAAAAAAGGATTGTGGTTCTCACAGTCAAATATCAGTCTGATCTGTGAAAAAATCTAACCAACAAGAGAGGAGGTTCAATTATTTTCCAGTTCCTTGATTTTATTGTTTGTAAATAACACAGTCTACCCTCTTGGTTTTGTTGCTTAAAGTTTATGGGATTTTTTTTTCTTTATGGAAATATTGTTACAAACTTAGAAAGGAGTAAGAAAACAGGAAAACTGTAACATAAGAACAGAGGATCATCCCGACTCCATCTGTAGTCTCTGTCTGGTGTCATCTGCAACCTTCTCTGCTACATCAGGCTGCAGAAGGTCCTTCACCTGCAAGAAGGATTGAGGTGTTCAAAAACTCATTCTTTCCTAGAACTATCGCAAAGTGGAACTTGCTGTCACCAAGTACAGTAGGGGCATTATCATTAGATAGCTTGAAACAGTGTTTAGAGTTGTTGGTGTAAGGTTATAGGTGTAGCAGGTCGTTCGGTGTAAGTTAGCCAGCTGCCGCCGCACCGCATGCTTGCGAAGCTGGTGTGTTGCGCCGAAAGGCGGTTATACCGGCTATACTAATACAAATACAGATCAAAACAACCAAAAGATCTACTAAGGAAATACATATACATGTAGTAAAATGTACCTGATGCTGACGAGAGGCTTCGTACGCATACAGCACACTTGTGTCGTACAACATGAGTTTGTGGGTGGCCAAGGCCAGGATACAGTTTCTCAGCCGAGCTATCACCTCCCTGTCTGCCGATGGAACAGGCTGAAACAGGCGGGGTTTAACATTGAACGGGTTGTACCATGATACAAAATCATCAATCATAGGGGTGCCTGTCTGTCTGTCAGTCAGTCTGAAAGACTATGTGCAAAATGGGCTGACAAAAAAGATAGGCAACAACAGGATGGTATCATATTGAAATAGCTTATTAGCTAATGCAAATTCTAACAATGATGCAAATTTTTTTATCTTTAAAAAATGGTCTGGCCTGGTCAAAAATTTGTTCCACTTGAATTTGAATTCTTCTCCGTACATTCATGAAAAATAACTCAATTATGTCTACCTTCCCAGAAGGAAAACATCTTGTTTTTGCTCTGTTTCTTCTTCCTCTTCCTCTTCCAATAAGGTCAATGACCTGAACCATTTGTCTGTCACCATGGTAACCAGTGTTGGGTTACATCATGTTGCTATTTTATAGCAGGAAGGATTTAGATTCCTGTCTGACCATATATATGAATGTGTTTGAAGAAGAATTAACAGAGGTACCTTTCCATATGCAAAGGTAAACATTATGTATTTGCTTTGCAAATGTTACCTTTCTAGCAGCTAATTACAATAAACCCACCTCCAGGTCCTGCTCGTACCCCCCACTGCTCTCCCCCCTCTCGTCGTTGACGGTTGGACTGATCCAGACGTAGCCATTGTTCCCCAGGATGACGCTGGCCCCGCAGGCCAGGTTGTGGAAGTGGGTCTTACGCCGCTTCACCAGCGACGGGGACACCTGCACCATCACACCCTGCGCAAGCTGGGACAAAACAGGACAGTACTTTATTCAAGGACAATTGGCAGCCAACAGCTAGTCTGGAAGCTGTTGTTACAGGCATGCCGTACTTAGTCAGGGTTTCCTATCCATGTCTTCATGGTCTCACTTTCAAACTGTACATGTACTACTGGATAAATTATGGAGAATACTTTGGGTTGTTTGGAGTGACATCCATCACACTTTTTCAGCATCACTAAAATAAACTGAGAGAACTAGTCAACACTTATCGCAAGTGGAAGAAGAGCTTTAGTGCCTAAGGCTATGTCACTGGATAGTGGTTCTTGGGGAGTAGACTGATCATGAAGGTGACAAGGTTGGACTCCAGGCTAGTCAGTTTAATCTGTTGGTTTTCAAATAAACTGAACTGGATGGGGACAGGGGCACAAGCAATATCCCTCTCTGGGCAAGCTGGGACAATACAGAACTTTGAATAGCAATGTTCATTATCCACAATCACTTGTTTAACAAGAGTTGACGTTTCAATGACCATCTGTCATCTTTATCAGGGTAATCATGACTGGTTTTCTGTGCACTGTAGCTAGATTTTACAGCTTTCCCAAACATTGAGGAACTGTGATATACATAAAATATTGTTGCAACAATCATAAGGCCTAGCTCTCGTTTCAAATGTAAGTGAAACAGTGCTTGACTGCTTGTGTGAGTACCTTGCCATACTTGAGACTCCTGGTGTGAAGGGAAAGAGCTCCATCGTGGAAAATGGCCTGCACCTCAGCCTAGTACGGTCGGTCAAGGAAAAAGCCACAGAGAAAAGGGCCAAGAACACAAGTGGAAATTAGAAAAAAATTAGAAGCAACCAGGTTACTGTACTTGAAGCATGCCATAGAAAGATTTATAAACATGTACAAAACAACATGATCAGAGAAACAAGATAAAACACTAGATACTATAATAATGTGTAACCTGATAAATAATTTCAGTTCATAATATGTTAAGTTTCAGTTTCAGTTTATTCGCACTTTAAAACAAATTGTAACAATACAGATACAAAACAATATAAATGAAATGTAACATTGCCGGGAGGCCGGAAGCATAAAAATGCTTATGAGGAGACCTCCCTTCATAACGTGATTAACAATTCATATAAATCAGATAAATGAGAAATAACTTAGGTAACGGGTAAATGAAACAAAACAATAAAATACAATACGATACAATACTATCTACAATAATGAAAAGTAGTAATGAACAGTAGTAAACAAGGAAACATAAACAAAAATTAGGAATGTGTGGGGTTATTTATGTAGATGTTTATAGTCAAAACAACACCGTTTATAGTAAAAAACAACACCTGTAAAACACACACATCAAGAGAGAGAAAGGATACACTGATGAGGTCCCCTTCCTGGAGGTACTCTCTCATCATCAGTTCGTCCTCAGCTGACCTTCTTCTCTGCAAGACAGTAAAACAAGCGGAACGTTAAAGGTACAAACAACAACAGAGATAGATCACATTACACTCTTGTAAATGTACTCGAATTTCAGGCTCTATATTTTAGTAACTAGAAGATGGAATGTAATTGTACTACCAATAAGCTTATGTAAGTCTCTACCACTAGTACCAGATTAATGGGTTCAAAAACAGTAAAATTTAGCCAATTAGGGAGTCAATAATAGGACAGGGAAGTTCAGCCACCATATACGGGTAGAGTTCATTTGCCCAAGGGGGATATGAACCCCTAATGGTGGACCCACTCCCCTGGCCAGTCACACCCTATTTTTGCCGAATTCTACCATCGTAAACACTTTAGGAAGGCCTGGTGGAGGCTAAGCTCTTGTAAACTTTCCAGAGATAAAATCAAAGATGAACTCTACTTGTCCATAACGGACCAGGTCTAAAGTTTTAAGTCAGGTAACTTCATGTATAGGCACATGTATGAATGTTTAGATGGGTTGTACCAACTCTCCTCCGGGGAGGTTGACTGCTGACAACATGAGGACGGCGTCTAGTCTGGAGTTAACGTCCACCCGCCATCTTTTCTGGCCAACCTGGGATTTATTTGAGGTGAAAAAGACAATATAAATAAAACACTAATGAACCCACACACCACCAAACACAGCATATGTTAACTCTACACTGAACTCTTTGCCGAGTGTCAGTTACTCTGACATGGATAAGAGTCAAAACTGTACTTTTTACTGTTTGTATGTGACTGTTGTCTTTTGTCGTGTAAAACAGGGCCCCATTGAAAAGAAGTGCAATCACTTAATGGGCCACCCTGTATAAAAATGACGGAAAAAAAAAAAATAAATAAAACTTCGTCTTGTGACCACCTTTCCTTTGTATAAGGACCACCTGACCATTGTGGCCTTACAAGTTTTTGGGGGAATGAAAAGATAAAATAAAAGTAATGTTTCTCACCTCGCTGACTCTCCCCACCACAACATCACCAATCTCACCATTGTACCTGTGAAAAATACAATTGGCATGTCAAGAATTCAATCTAAACTGACTCAAGTCTAGACAGTGTAACAGTGGGGGGTTTATAGGCGCTACCAACTGACCCGGCCGATGGGTCTAGAGCTCTTCAGCCAAGTGGTTAGACTTAGAGCGTCGGACTGGTGCCCGGGAGGTTGTGGGTTCGAACCCCGGCCCAGGACCAGGGTTTTTTATCTGTTTCTATTCTACTCACTCCTCCTGTTTCTTACAGTGGTTCCCACGCCGGGAATCCAACCCGGGCCTTGGGGGTGAGAGCACCAAATCCTAAGCACTAAACCACATGGGACGCTGTTACAACAAAACTGGCAGCCAGCTAAATTATTCTAATGCTGCAGGGATTTTTTCCTTCAAATGTAGTATTGAGTCAAATGTGGTATTGAGAAGCCTCTGAGTTCACCTTGTCTTGAGCGGCTGCACACAGATGAGTTTGTTGACTCTCTCCACAACTCCAGCCAGGGACGCCTTCAGCTTGTCACCATCCATGTACGTGCCATGGCCCCTGGTGCAACATAACACAACACAACTCAACATGTCGTAATGTGTACGATTTAGACATGCACAATTATGTTTCATTTTCATCACGGCCAACAAGAGGGAGTAGGTCACATATGCTAATGCCAGTTCGCTGCAAAACATCAACATTTGCTACTTCCTACATCCCTCGCTTGGTGGCTGAGTGGAACAGACTGGAAGTCAGAGTCCGGGACATGGGGGCTGTCGCTTCGGGGCAGTCCGAGCTTTTAACATTCAAACGGGGTCTTGTCAAATCGCTGACCAAGAGATTTAATGATCATTTTGTTACTGACAATCTCTGCACGTGGACGTCTGCTTGTCGGTGTGCCACATGTCTGGCAATAAGGCCACGGTAGACATGGGGCACCTCCACGGCCGGATGTACATGTGCAGAGATCTAGCTATTATGAAATTGTGCAATTATATATATTGTTATTATTGTCTACTTACGATGTTGTGCAATATGTTTAATTAGTTTTAACTATGATTGATTGCAATGTCATTTATGTCTTTGGGGAGGGAGCCTGTAAAGGTGGTCTCCACCTGTTTCTCCCTTCCCTTCCACTTGTGGCAAAGCTTGAATAAATAAATAAATAAATAAATGTCACCATCCATGTACGTGCCATGGCCCCTGGTACAACATAACACAACACAACTCAACATGTCACCATCCATGTACGTGCCATGGCCCCTGGTACAACATAACACAACACAACTCAACATGTCACCATCCATGTACGTGCCATGGCCCCTGGTGCAACATAACACAACACAACACAACATGTCACCATCCATGTACGTGCCATGGCCCCTGATACAACATAACACAACACAACACAACTCAACATGTCATCATCCATGTACGTGCCATGGCCCCTGGTACAACTGAACATAACACAACATAACACAACACAACACAACACAACACAACACAACACAACTCAACTTGTCACCATCCATGTACGTGCCATGGCCCCTGGTACAACATAACACAACACAACTCAACATGTCACCATCCATGTACGTGCCATGGCCCCTGGTACAACATAACACAACATAACACAACACAACACAACTCAACTTGTCACCATCCATGTACGTGCCATGGCCCCTGATACAACATAACACAACACAACACAACTCAACATGTCATCATCCATGTACGTGCCATGGCCCCTGATACAACATAACACAACACAACACAACATGTCACCATCCATGTACGTGCCATGGCCCCTGGTGCAACATAAAACAGCTCACAATCTGTACATCATGCTATATATGTATGTGACATTGCCCCTTGAGTCAAGGATATGACAATGAGTAAGACTTTTAATTATGGGTTCACCACACCACGAAGTGGTGGTGAACCCATATTGCTTTTTCTGATGTTTCTTCTCCTCCTCCTTCTCCTTCTTCTTCTCCTGCCATTTTTTAAATGGATTCAGCTTCTTCATTTTAGGGCCTAAGGTCCTGAAATTTGGTATGGATGTACAGTGGGCAAATACCCCTAGGCGTTTTTTAAATTTTTGTGATACAGGCTTTTAGAATGGTTTTATTTGAGTTTTTTGGCTGTGTTATAGAAAATGTATTACTGAGTTAGTGTGCAGTGTTACCACATTTGGGCATGAGTCATCACAATGGAATGCAGGGCATCAACCAATAGGCATGCAGCTTTCCTCTATTCTCCTTGCTGATTGGCTGTTGGAATTTAACAGGCTTAACTTAATTAATACCTGCTCAGATCCATTCCATACTGACAGTATGTCTGTATTCAAGTGTTTTGGTAGGTATTTCAAGCTTTCCTGCTCCAGCATTGGAATGCGGGGCATGAACACTTCTTTTTTTCTTGAAAATCAACAGTTTGCATTATGCAATTAAAAATCCTAACCAATAATGTAGGGAATAGCTATCCAACTGTTGTAGTCTTAGTTGTATGTTACTTCATACTATAGTTATATCAATGTAAAGCATTGTTTTCCCTTGTGTTTCTCATTCTTTCCCTGCCATGTCGTAAAATGTGGTGAAGCCATTGCTGTATTTGCTCCAAAGCAAATGTCGGCCTTTCTAGTTACTACTAGTAATATCTATAGGTTTGAGTTCAGACTCAAAGCCCGTAGCTTAAGCGGCCGCCTAAGTCATTATGATAATTTAAAGGTGGCTGGTTCTGGTACGTGTTATTTGTAGACTTTATTGGGAGTTGCATATGGCCTCCTGTAGTCAACATAGACCACGGTATCCTGATATAATTTATTATTAGCCCTAAGGAGGTTTAAACCTGCCTTCTTGGCCCTGCAACTTTGGCTGTAGTGACCAAAGTGTATCTGCTTGCATATACACGAGAATATACACATATACATGATGATGTTGTTGTTGAAGTCCTAGCCGTGGAGACTCTGTATTCGGGCTTACATTTCATTACTCTCAGCAAATTTACCCTCAGCAGTATGAAAACGCCATGTGTTGATAAATTTATGCCCCCCTCCCCACAACGCTACTAAAAAGTACGATATCCCTTGGCCCGGTTCCCAATGACCCCCACAAACCCCGTAGCTCGGTACCTCATGTATCCCGTGTCCGCCGTGATGACGTCGCCCGGCGTCACCAGGTGTTTCGGCGCGTCAGGTACCGACGTTTTCTTACGGCTCTCCGCCAACGTGATGTGCACCGCCATGTTTTCGAACTGGACTAGTCCATTCCATCTTTAGGTAAAACTCTGCGCGTAACATTTTATCGCTTTTGTCTAACATTTAGAAATTGAAAAAAAAACTTAATGTGAATAAAAAAGCATTTATATATAACGTAAAATAACTTATTTTTTTATACGGAGGGGTAAATAAACCTTCTATTCTACAAGTAAATAGAGTGGAATTTCCCACATAGAAAAGTAGACTAGTACCACAGTCAACTATGTAGAAGCGACATCTACTGATTAGTTCTGTAATTGCAGAGCACTTTAAAGAGGTGTGTTGCATCAACAAAGGAGGTCTTTTTATTAATTTTATTAAACCTCCTTGCATCAACAAAGGCGGCCAACATATCTAAACTTTCCATTGCCCCACAGAATTCGCTTTGAGATTATACAACAGTCACAAAGTCTGCAAAGGAGTCGATATTTCAAGGTCCACTATCACCTGTGAACTTTGAAACTGTCCCCATAGCAGACGTCCAATCAGAGGCATTTTGGAACTTGAAGGTTTGCAGTTTTCTTGCTTGTTTTGCTCACGAAAGAAAAAAAAAACAAGTAGGAAAATATTTAAATCTGTTTTATTATGAAATAATTAAACCGTGATCCGGGCCCGTCACTCACACAGAGGCTACCCATGAATCACTGCGCACCGAAACTGGGACCGGGGAGGGCCGGGGTGGTCACGAGTAAGTCACGTCTTCACTTGGTACTTTTCGTCCTAGAAAATTAATTGAATTCTTGTCTTATACAGCGAAACGGTGTGGCAAAGATTTCACTGACTGTTAAAATCATTTGTAGGTGGGTGGAGGAACTAAAGCTTTGCGGAGTCATGGCCCATGCATCTTTGACTGGTTGTTCGGCTGGACTTTACCGTCAGTGTTTGCATGACCAGGTAACGATACTCCCACCATTGACTTTTAATCTTTTAATTGTTGCTATTGAGTGAACGATTATGCAATGGTTGTTAACGCTACGTGTACGGTGCAGGTCTTATAAAAACGTAGTACTATGTTCACTTCCTTCAATATCTTCACTGTTTGACGTATTGCAGCAAAAACTTATCCGTTCACAGAATCGTGGCGTGGCAATTTGTGGGGTGGGAGAGAAAATGGGAGGGGCTGCCAAGCAGAGATTTAAAGTAGACTTCGGCTTGTATGATGTATGACGTGTTTTATCGGGCTCTATTTTTTGTACTGGTATCTTTTTTCGCCAACCTACTAGTATCTAAGTGGGGGCCAAATCATGAAGCTCCCTGGCAAATAGATACTGCATGGCCAAATTGATACACTTTTGCAGCCACTGCGAAATAATGCTTGGAGGAAGGGGGAGGGGCATCAAAACTCCTACATTTATGGTAGATTTATGGTCAACAATTCGTCTCAGTAGATACCTACAACAGCCAAGGACCATGAAAATTTTATTGTTCATTTTTGATACTGCCAATTAATAACACAATTACACATTGTGTTATTAAGCCCCTTTACAGCCATACTAACTGTTCCTTTCTTTTTCATTGTTTCTACCAGATTTCCTGAAAGATAAAAAGCATCATGTCCAGAACTAAAACCTTTTTTGGACGTCGCAGACAAGAGCTCTTTGCTGAGCTCAACTGTCAACGTCAGACAGGAGAGTTTCTTGATCTAGTGGTAAGGGTGCAGGATATAAGGTTTCGTTGTCACCGGGCTATTTTGTCATCTACACCATCCTTCAAAGCCATACTGTCCCAAATACATGCCAAGGGTAAAAGCTCAAAAGTTATAAAACTTCGGATCCAAAATATTGACCCCCTCTGCTTCGCCAAGATCCTTGACTTTGTGTACACAGGAGAAATCACTATCAGTAAGGACGACGTCAATGATATTTTGCAGGCGGCACACTTGTTGTCAGGCAATGTGCTTGACAACATAAGCATATACTGCCGTGACTTCATGCATAATACTCTATGCCCGTCCAATTGTCTCCTATTCATGCACTTTGCCAACATGTATGGCTTTTCCACCCTGAAAAGAGAAGCAAGGAGAAAGGCGATAGCCCACTTCTCAAAGGCCAAACAAGACGACGGTTTTCTGACTCTTTCATCAGATGAACTCGTGAATCTTCTCCAGGATGATCTGCTTCAAGTTACGAGTGAAGACGAGATCGCCACTTCCGTGATACGATGGCTCAACCACGATCCTGAGAGTCGGAAGCTAGCATTGCCCATGATTTTGAAAGAGATCCACCTTTCATGTGTCAGGGTAAGCGTGCTCAGGGAACTCGAGTCCCATCTTGCAGTTCAGGAGTCTGCCGAATGTCTGACCAACATTACAGCAGCCAAGGAGGAACACCTCAACGGGACAAGGCAACTGACAACAGGGGCACATAAACGTGGTTGTTGTTGTTGCACACCTATACGTAAGCCTGCGACAACAGACGACCTGATAATCATAGGCGGTGGTTGGAAAGTTGACAAACTGATTCTTCCATTGCAAAGTATCATTGGTCTAGATCCGGATGATAGGCATTTCTATCACATCACTGACCTACCAACACCTGATCTTGTGGACACGAGTGTTGTGAATACTGGAAGGCGTCTGTATGTATCAGGCGGGTGCATCGATGATGATCCAGATAGTGCACCAATCAAGCAGATCTTTTGCTATGACTTTGCCACAGATACCTGGGAGAAGCTACCTGACATGCCTCGTGGAAGGGCAGAGCATCAGTCAGTAGTTGTTGACGGGAAACTCTTCCTGGTTGGTGGTGACGTCAAAGCGGCGTCCGACGAGGCCGCCTCAGCTGATACGACATGTCCACTCACCATCGACTGCTATGATCTTGAAAAAGGAACTTGGATAGAACCACCAACAGCACCACTAATTGATCCTTTGTCAAACACGAAGGTAGCAGCAGCCTGCCGGGGTAAACTTGTCCTCATTGAGGGGTTGATCAAGACATCTAGGCGAACACTCCGTGTTCATGCCCTTGACTTGCTAAACGGAGAATGGGTATACTCGGACATTGCATGGAAGGGATACGAATCAGACTCGCATTGGCTCGACGTGGACATCTCGGTGAATGCTATAGATGACAAACTGTATTTCCGGGCCGAAAGTAACTTGTTTGCTTATGATGTCAAATCAGAAAGCCTAACAAAGGTCAAGATTACAGCAGTTCCAAGTGGTATCAAATTTCTTTACACAAAACTCGACGCTGACTGCTTGGTTGATGCATGTATAACATCCATACACGAATTTGCTGACAGATACAGACAGAAAGTTGAACGGCTCCCCTTTGCTGTGACCGAATGTACTGTTCTTGGAACCAAGAAGAGTAGCATTGGATGGTACTGTCGGGACCACCTAGTGAAACTAAATCGTAATAACATTAACAACGATCAGAATGATAAAGAGGGGAGGGATGATGACCACGAGGATGAGACACACAGCAAGATGAGGCCTCCTACTGCGCACTTCCAAAATCCCAGCCATTCAGATGACCTCAGTGTTGAGCTTGCACGTCAGTGTAATACCGGCACATACACCGATGTGGTATTAGAAGTAGAGGGCCAAAAGGTTTGTTGCCACCGTGCTGTGTTGGTATCCACTCCGTACTTCAAAGCCATGTTCTCCTCCAGCTTTAAAGAAAGTAACTCAAGGGTTGTAAAACTCTGTGGAATTAACTTTAACAGCCTCGTGAAGATCCTAACATTTCTATACAAAGGATCAATCCAGATCAGTGGAGACAACGTTCAGGACATTCTGCAGGCGGCACACATGCTGCAGATTGATGAGATCACTGAATTTTGCCGGACGGTCATTCAAGACAACATTCACGCTTGCAACTGTATAGGAGTCATGCGCCTTGCCAACCTGTATGGCTTTTCTGACCTGGAAAAGAAGGCAGAGTTACAGGCGGTAACTCATTTCTCAGAGGTCAGGCAAAATGAGGAGTTTCTCAGCCTTTCGACGGTTGAGCTTGTCAAACTACTGGGAGGTAGGTTCAATCGTCTGCTTGAAGTTACGAGTGAAGATGAGGTCGTCACTTGCGTGTTACGATGGCTTGACCATGATCCTGAAAGCCGCAAGACCGCAATACCTGCAATTTTGCAAGAGATTCGCTTACCATATGTGAAGGTCAGTACGCTAGAGAAGCTGGAATCCCACCCAGGGGTACTGGAGTCTGCTGAATGCCTGAACAAAATCACAGCAGTCAAGGAGGGACATCTTGCTGGTACACGACGGCTACATAAATATGGACGTAAGCGATCTAGAAAACCAGACAACCTGGAAATCCTTTTTGGTGGACTTCGGTGGATTGGACTCTACCAGCCCTCCATACCCTTGGAAAGCATTGTATGCAGAGATCCAAATAGCCAGCAATATTTCTACATCACAAAACTGCCAACATCTGTTGCCTGCGTGAGTGTGGCAAGAGCAGAACGACACCTGTATGTAACAGGAGGCTATGGTCCTCAGAGTCAGAGTAACGACCGATCAGCATCCAGACTGGCTTTTCGGTACAATTTCCTAGCAGACACCTGGACAAAGTTACCCGACATGCCTCGCGGTAGGGCAGAGCATCAGTCAATAGTCGTTGAAGGGAAACTCTACGTGGTTGGTGGTGACGATAAGGCAACGTCCGTGTCTATGGACTGCTACGATCTTGAAGAAGAGACTTGGATCCAACTAGTGTCACTGCCAGAAATTGACCCTTGGTCGCAACTAAGACTAGTAGACACTTCCTCGAACCATGTTGTACTCTTTGAGATCTCCTGTGATTCCAAGAAATGTGTGACGAATGATGTATTGAGGCGGGTTTTGGGTGGGTATTTTGATGCCAAATGGACCAATCTTGTTGTACATGTCTTAAAAGTGGCGACAGATCCGCTCAGCAATGATGGTGACGATGACAGTGATGACAGCGATGAAGATGAATGGAATGACAATGACGGTGTCTGGGACGAGAAGGAGGAGGATAGCGAATGCGATGAAAATGAACAATGGACACGCTCCGATATTCTGGTGCTTCATAATGTGGATGGCTGCGACGTCTTTGTGATCACTGTTAATGACAGGGTTTATTTCCATTTTGTTTGTACCCGGTTATCGTTGTTCATTGGCCGTAAATACATTCAAACTGTTTATGTCTACAATGTCAAAGAGAACACCGTAATCGATGCAGAGAGAGTATGTGACATCAATCACACAGAATGCGACTTTCGTCGCTACTATAATGCTTTCGGCAGGTTTAAAGATGCCGTGATCAACCGTTACATGTTCCAAAACATGGCGAGCGGGGAGGGTGAGACATCGACCTACCTGTTGAGCAAAAGTGTCCTTATTGCCGATAAGAGAAGCATCGGATGGTACTGTCGAGATCTTGCAAAATTCAAGAATGTTAAAGAGCCAAACCAGAGTTCGTTTGACTGAAGCCACAGGTCTTTGATACCAAGTGTGCTGTACACTTAAGTCAGAAACAATCATTAGAGATCAAAATGTCTGTGCAAGAGTGCAAGAGAAACAATGCAAACCTCTGTTGCGTGAAACTGTGTGGACATCCTTGCAGAAGTTAAGGAGGATCAGGACACTGATACAAGACCATACAACTGATGAGGAAGAGACTGATGATGACATGTTACATCATGGCAGATCTATTTTTTATTTATTTATTAGAACATACATCATGACTTTGTTGATAAAAAAAACAGTTATATGTTATACTTTTTAGCCCTAGGGGCTCTACATGCATGCATGTTCCTTTTAATTTGGCCTTGTTTGGCTATTAGAAATCTCATGTCTTCCATATTATGATACCCATGTATCATCTTGTACCTGTATTTAATGTTATCAAGTGTGATGGTTCATTTGATGCTAAGTAAACTTCAGTATGCCAAGGTAGCTCTTTGATGTCAGATTGGTATTGGCTATGGGATTAGACAGAAGGGATAAGATGAAAAGAGCCTCTTCAAACACATGACTGTCAACTTGCTCACATTTGTTGAGAGTTACAGGTGCTTACAATTGCACCTCAAATGTGGAGGCTTGGTGTTCTCTAGCTATAACGTTTACTTGAAATAAAAGCAGTTGTTGAAAATTATCATTTTGGATTGATGCGTTTTTCATGCGTACTGGTTTGATAATATTAACATTTGAAATCTATAGCTACACAAATATGTTTCTCTGTTCTGATGCAAATGGGTCAATGACACACTCCGGCCCTCGTGCGCTCTTGGTAATCGCATTCTACATTCAAACAAAACCTAAATGAATAGTAGTAACTACAGAGAAAACTTGTAAAACACACATCCAGTCTTTCATGTTCATCTCAGATCCTTTATTAGCACTTTCTTGAATAATGAATCTTTATTTGTATGTTGACAGTTCTTGCCCATGGGGCTAAATGCATACACCAGAGTATGATATACTAGTACATACTAAGTAACATAGTACATCGGATAGAAGGATAAAAGAATATACGTACGTACGTAAAAGTCTAAGGACACGCAGTTCTCCATGTTATGCACTGCTGCCAAATACTACCTAAGCTTCTAAAGTTTTAAACAAGTTTTAAAACCCTTATAAAACCCACCCTATGTACAGTTCCACATCGATCGAATTGCCGTCTCTGGCTCAGTGTCTTCTACCAGGTTCCTTTATGTTACGATTTCAGAACATGATCTGGTACGAGGTTGCAGCCTAACCTAACATCAGTTAAGTTCCAAGGAAGCCACCTTTTCAGCGGCAGTAACGTTCTGCACAGTACGTACTTCTCAATGTTCTCTCCAGCATGGGCGAAGCCACAATACTCCAGATCTACTGACTATTCCCGTACCTTCGGTTGCAATCTGCAGCTGCTATAATAATGCAGTGAAGTTTGGGTCCTAGGGCCTAGGGGCAACACGTAGATTAAGGACACTCTCAAAAACAAGAGTGAGTGTTCTTGGCAGCCGCAGCAGGTTTCAACGAGATTGTTTTTCAGTCATTGTTTTCATTGTTGATTTCCCATGACCGCCGCCGCCGCTCTAATCTGTGAAGATCCCTGCAATACCACCCGATGCTACTCTTCTTGGTTGCAACCAAACTATGACCAGACAAAGCAAAACCCGGTAGGCGAAACGATCTATTATAGATGCCTTCGAACTCGTTGTCTTTTATATACCCGTAGTAGACTATGGCGGCACTGAGGTCTTCTTGGCATTCTCGACTGTTCCTGAATTGGAAGGCGTCGTTTTCGTACATGTACTGTATACGGCAGAAGTTCCCTGTCAAATCTCCTTCTTCCTCAAGTCTTGAGTCAGATAGGGTTCCCTTTTCAACATCATAGACGAACATTTCACACTGGTTTTTCATATTGCTGGATGACGATTGCGGGTAATGATGAAGAAGGATATGCACATTTTCATCCTCAACTGAAGTCATCAACTTACAAACACCTTCACAGGGACACCGAATCCAAATATCAGAGCAAAGCCAATCAAAAGTTTTCACGTCAAACCCATGAACACGGAGGTCTCTTCTTTCATACGAGTCGTGACTCAGTTTTGAAAACTCGTGGGCGATTACAAGCTTACTCCCACAGGCCGTTACTGTGAATTCTGATGAAGGGGCTATATCTGGCATTTGTACACCTGGTGGCTTTATCCAAGCTTCTTCTTGAAGATCGTAGCAGTCCATGCTGAACGCAGGCGTGTCGTCAGTATCACCCCCAACCAGAAACAATTTACCACCAACGACTACTGACTGATGCCCTGCCCTTGCGCGAGGCATATCGGGTAAAATTGTCCAAGTGTCTGTTGGGAAGTCGTACCGAAAGGCCTGTGTGGATGGAGCACTCTGGGGACCCTGCTGGCCTACCAAAGAATGGACACCCAAAGGATGGGCACGCCCACCTGTTAGGTACAAACGCCGTTCTGCACTTGTGACACTCATGTAACTGGAGACGGTCGTTGGCAGGTTTGTGACGTGGTGGCATCCCTCTTGATTGGCCCAAGAGTCGTCTGGATCCAAGCAAATCACACTTTGAAAGGGTGTCGTCAGTGTAGGGTATTCGTCACGATAAATATCGTCGGCCTTCCAACCACTGACAAGAATTGCCAGATCGTCTGACTTACCGAGCCTAATTGGCCTAACTTCAGCCTCATCTACCTCTGCACTTGCGCTAGCTTGCGATGTAGTGGCGAGGTGCATCTCTTTGGCCGCTGTGATTTTTGCCAGACATTCAGGATAGTCCAGTATAACAGGATGCGACTCTAGTTTCATCAGCGCACTGACTCGCATGGACATTAATCGGATCTCTCGAAAGATGGCGACTATCGCTGTCCTGCGGCTTTCGTGATCGTGGTCGAGCCATCGTATCACAGAATCAACCACTTCTTCTTCATTTGTAACACATAGGTCTTTGTCTTTGAGTAGATCCAAGAGCTCCTCCTCTGTAAGGGTAAGAAATTCTTCATTTTCTGCCATCTCTGAGAAGTAAGTCAATGTCTCCCTTCTGGCCACTTTACCAATGTCAGAAAACCCATACATGTCGGCGATGCGCATCACACCAATGCAGTTTGACGGCCAACATTTCTCTTCAATGATGGCTTCGCAACACAGAAAGATGTTGTCAATCCGCAGCATGTCTGCCGCCTTCAGAATGTCCTGGACGTCGTCTATACCGACGGAGATTTTCCCGGTATACAGGAAGTCCAGGATCTTGGAGAAGCTGCTGGAGTCAATATCGTGCAGCGTTACTTCTGACATCCTCTGCTCTGCGAAGTCAGAGGACAGCATGGCTTTGAAGTATGGCGTTGATGCCAGGACAGCCCGATGACAGGGAAACCTCTTGTCCTGTACATTTATCACTACATCAAGAAACTCCCCGTTCTGACGCTGGTCGTTCAGCACAGCATTGAGGTCATGGACATGGTTGGTATTCTCGAAATGACCGCGGCCTTGTTCATCGTAGGGTATTGGTTCACTTCTTTCCATGGTGAGGGCTCTTTTCTCATAAACAGTCCTGCAGAGGGCATATATAAAGCGAATTGGATTGTTAGATTACAAACTTTAATTGGAGATAAAAATAGAGCATCATCTAGACTTAATTATCTTTCACATTTATTTAGTACGTCTAATTGGAAAACATGATGACTTCAAAAGTTGTGATAGATAGTTTTTAATGGTAATTTTCTTGTATGGAAAAAAATACATTTCAACAGGGAATTACCATTAGAAAAAGAGTTATCACGACTTTTTAAATTACACTGTATCACATTTTCTGATGAAAATAAATCTACGCATTAAATAAGTGAGATAAAAAGCTATCTCTCATCTTGTAGTGAATTTACGAACCCCAATCTGTATCTAAACAGGGCAAGGGGGCTGTGTGTTGAACTCCCCAGTACGTGGTCCAACATCTAACGCCAACAGGAGCTACAGAAGTCACAAATGAGGGGAGGTATCTAAAACGTCTGGCCGTCTTCAGAGAATCTATCCTGCATTCTAACTGCTTGGATGATCAAGTTTATTTTGTATTACGACATGTTCTACCTGAATGTCTAACCTTCACTGTGACTTATAAAATGCATTAGTTTATAATCAGACCTCTTTACGTACGGTACCATATCAACATGTAATGAGTATCATATACATGTAGCTGTCTCAACTATGTCCACAGTGCGTGAGCAACATTGGCGCCAGGGAATACACAGGATATACTGTTTCATAGATCTTTTAAAAGATCAATCAACATCAATTATTGCTTTTAGATGATCACTGATCATAATATCTGCGTAAGCCTGTGATATATCCTGGCTTTCATGGAATACCCAGCACTATGCATCACGTATGTTGTACTTTTCCGTTAGTAACATGACGCCATCAGGCCATTTTTGTGTGGCAACCAGACAACCGTGAGCCCCTCTCAGATTTTGCTTGTCAATGCTTCTCACACCCACCTGTTAACGATTCTGGCAGAGATCGCTCGCCTTCGGTAAAAGTTGTGTCAACGACGGCAGAAAAACACTTGACAGTTAACCGTCAGTTAGCCGTCAGCGGCAATGGGGCGTCTCACTTTTGTGCAGAAAGTACGTCCAGGAAAGAAAACCAGGTAACGTATACCGTGACATGCAAGTTTCGGGTGCGCATGGATTCATGGGTAACCTGTTGACAGTTGTGTCTTTTTTTGGGTTGGGGTTCTAACTGTCAGCATTATGTGACAAATACGTATACATTTTCGGGATGTAGTTTTTCTTTGATGTTTCTCTCCAGCCCGAAGGAAGCGATTGAAAAATTAAAGTTGCTAAGTACATAAACAAAAAGAAGCCTTTGATTGGATAGATGCTATAACTTTCACCTGAGCACTGACTTCCTTTGTTCAGTTGATACGGAACAAGTAAGGTGAGACTGTCACACCCAGTGTTGCGTTTACACAAATATTGGTCGTCAGGGACCAGTGGGCCCCTTCTGATGCTTGCAATTGGGTGGGAGAGACGCTAGGGTGCGATTAAATCAGGCTGGAAATATATCTTACTTTCCTGGTGGGTGTTTGGGGGTTATGATACAGCGTGATGTTAGCATCATCGGCCTATATGAACAGGGTACAGCCGATTACACAAAGAACAGCAGAACACACGTGCACGTTTCAAAGTATTTTTTCAAGCTCTTTACTGGAGTGATTACTATATAATGACACTAGAATTTATTCATCATGTTAATTTCAGTTGATACATGTAACGTTAGTTTCTTAATGATAAGTCGGTTGCACTGCGCTTATGTGCCGACCACTATTTCACACAACTTAAAACGTTATAGTCACTCATTTTGTATGATTTACGAGTACTAGTGGTCGAAAACGTTTTTTTGGGAAACGGACGAAAATTCATGTGCGCGTGGATGTCATCCATATAATGAAATCAACATGGCCTAAGTAAGGATCATAGAATGATGAATTTGATGAAAGGTTTATTCGTAAAAAAACACATGGCAGCCACAGGCTGAATTGCGTGTTTTACAAAAAATGACAGATTTAAAAATACACTAAAAAGCACATACTTGACCACATTAAAAGTAATTAAGGGAAGTGATTTTAAAACCTACATTATATATACAAATCGGATATATACAAGTCTTATAGAACCTTCCTGCCTTCAGTGAAATAAAATTGGGAAATATGAGACAGCTCAGCCCGATGACGTCGACGCTGTCTCATCTTCCTTGTTGTCACTAAGAAGTTCAAGATCTCTGCAGTACCACCCGATAGTACTTTTCTGGGTTGCAATTAAACTATGACCAATTAAGGCAAAGCTAAGGTCCAACGTTACGCTTGGCTCCATGCTGCTTCTCTTGATGCTTTCGTTGTCTTCATCAAAGTTGGAGTAGATTATGACGTCGGCCAGGTCCTTTTGGTGGATCACGTAATGTTCTTCGTACATGTACTGTGTACTACAAAAGGTCCCTGTCCAATCTTCTTTGTCCTCAAGATTGGATAGGGTTCCTTTTTTGACATCATAGACGAACATCGTACTCATAGGGTAGTGTGTGTTGTGACGTTGCAAGAGGATATGCACATTTTCCCGCACAACCGTCAAGATACGATCTGGTTTATAATATTCTCTCACAGGAACTTCGGAGAACAGCCAATGTGCGGTTTTCACGTCAAACCGGTGAACACGGAGTTTCCTCTGCTCATCATACCTGTGACCTTCCTCTGGGTTATCAAAAAGCTCAACGGCCACAAGATTACTTCCACACGCTGTTACAGTTAGGTCCGATGAAGGGTTTATTTCTGGCAGTGTGGGTGGGTTTATCCAAGCTTCTTCTTGAAGATCGTAGCAGTCCATGCTGAATGCAGGCGTGTCGTCAGTGTCACCCCCAACCAGGAACACTTTACCATCAACGACGGCCGACTGATGCCCTGCCCTTCCGCGAGGCATGTCGGGTAACCTCGTCCAAGTGTCTGTTTGGAAGTCGTACCGAAAGGCCTGTCTGGATGGCGCACTGTGAGGACCCTGCTCGCCGACCAAAGGGTGGTCGCGCCCACCTGTAACGTACAGGTGTCGTTCAGCTCTTGCCACACTCATGTAGCCGAAAGCGGCAGTTGGCAGGTCGGTGACGTTGTAGCATTGTTCACTGGCTCGATCCAGACAAATCACACTTTGCAAGGGTAATAATTCCTCATCACCCCTCATGACCTCGTCTGCTTTCCAGCCACCAACAAGAATTGCCAGATCGTCTGATGTACCAAGCCTTGGGTTAACTTCAGCCTCATCTGCCTCTGCCTCTGCCTCTGCCTCTTCATTTTCTGTTGCTCGCTGCGTACTGGCGAGGTGTTTCGCCTTAGCTGCTGTGATCTTTGCCAGACATTCAGGCGAATTCTGTACAACAGGATGCGACTCTAGTTTCAGTAGCGCACTGACTCGCACGGACAGTAAGCGAATCTCTTGAAAGATGGTGACTATCGCTGTCCTGCGGCTTTCGGGATCGTGGTCGAGCCATCTTATCACCGAATCAACAACATCTTCTTCATTGGTAACATGTAGGTCTTCGTCTGTGAGTAAGTCCAAAAGCTCCTCCACCGAAAGAGACAGAAATTCTTCATTTTTCCCTATCTTTGAGAAGTGAGACAATGCCTGGTCCCTGGCCTTTTCAGTAAGGTCAGAAAACCCATACATGTCCGCAAGGCGCATGACACCAATACAGTTTGACAGACAAAGGTTGTCTTTGACGAACTCTTGGCAGTACTGGGTGATCTTTTCAATCTGCAGCATGTGTGCCGCTTGCAGAATGTCCTGGACGTCGTCTTTACCGATGCAGATTTTCCCAGTGTACAGGAAGTCCAGGATCTTGGAGAAGCTGGTGGAGTCAATCTCTCGCACTTCTATAACTTTTGATTTTCTCTCGGCGAGATGGGAGGACAACATGGCTTTGAAGAACGGTGTAGATGCCAGCACGGCCCGGTGGCAACGGAACCTCCTGCCTTGTACCTTTACCACTACATCAAAAAAATCCCTGGTCTGACGCTGGTTGTTAAGCTCTGCAAGGAGCTCGCGACAGTGAATGGTATGTTCGAAGCAACAGGAATCGTCCTCATCGTAGGATTTTGTATATTCCGGTCTCCTCACTCCGCAGGCATAGTCACTGTCATAGCTACGATTGTCGCCATACCTATCACTTGAGTCATCGTATTCGTCGTAGCCATAGTCATCGAAAGGATCGGCATACATGTAGTCATATTCAAAATCATAATAAGGCCACCAAATCCCGGCCATGGTGATTACTCCTTTCACCTAGACACTGTGACCCTACAGAGAACATAAAACGTACACTGCACGAAAAGTTGGATTTAGGAATTGCAACAAGTGCCATACGCCAGTAAATTAGAGTTAGGGTAATGTTTACTCTGTAAGCAGTACCACACTTTACAATGGTAGTAAATAAAGTCCGATAATTTCATTTAAGTGATACTATTGAGATATAACCGTCATTGCTTTTTGATTGCGCTTTTTTATCTCCCCGTGACCGGCAACCTGGACGTGGTGTACTTAGCACTTAATTAATCTTCTCTGGTGACTGACACCAGAAGACTGACTGCGTCAACTTCACAATTCACACCCACCTGTAAACGATTCTATCAGTCAAAAGATCGCTCGCCGGCTCAGAGTCGGTTGAAATACTATGTTCAACGCTGACACAGAAAACCATTTGTAACTTCACAGTTGGCTCTCCGTGAGCAGCACCTGGGCGTTTGGGTGCAGAAAGTAGGAAAGAGAACCGTTTTTCAGGTAATAACTTCCGGGTGCGCAAAGGTTTGTGGGTATCCTATTTACAGGTGTGTCTTTTTGTAAAGTTCAGGTTCTGGCAGTCAGTATTGTGTGCTAATTGCTAAATATACATTTTTTCGTGATTTTTGTTTGATGTGTCCCAGGCACTGTCCCTCCCTCTCGGCGGAAGCCATTGGATAAGTAGTATAAACAAAAGTAGTAACAAAAAGAAGCCTTTGATTGGACAGATAACATGGAGGCGTATTTGTGGGGACAAAGTTCACCTGAGCATTGACTTCCTTTGTTCACTCGAGCGAACAAGTCACGTGACACGCCTAGGCCTGTGCAACACAAACTTTGGTTGTCAAGAACCCCTGACGCCACGTGATTTGTCAATGGGGTTTAAAATCATATTTATCATATCACAATGTAGACTGTGCAAGATGAAAGGTTGGGTAACGTCTAGGCGCACCTTTATCTCTTGCTATACATGTACTAAGAGGTGGGCACAAGGCAAGTAAGACAAAATGTTAAAAGCTACTATGTGCATCATAAGAAGACTGCGGTAGGGTAGTGGGATACCCGGTGCGCTAACTTGTAGTGATAGAACACTGAAGCTTTTTAGCTACTGTTACGTTACAGTATGTTCTAGCGGTCAACTACCAACTTAGATTAACTTTCGTGCGAGGAATTTCTAATCTCCAAGCAGATCTTTTAGTGGGGGTAAGACAGTATCAAAATGGTTACAGACTGGCCAATTCGATACTGCCTTATCCCCACCAAAAGGTCAGCTTGGAAATTAGAAATTTCTTCATCGGTGTAAAACTCTCTCAGTATATTGTAAGAACGACGACTAGCTGTTTAAATTGGAATTGCACACACTTTCCCCGAATTTCATTTCCGCGAAACCGCGGTGCATGTTGGGTATAACTAAGTAGACGCCATCTTCACCGGTGGAAGGAGGAACAACATATTGTCCCGAGTTTTCTCCCCAAAACTCTCAATTTTTACCGAATATCGTACATTTTCACTGGCGAGAGACTTACATGGTGTTCTAGACATGGCGATGGACTTCATTTCAGAGGCGGACTCTCGTTTTTTCGCCGACAATTTGCTGTCCAGTGAAGATTGGGGTAGGTGGAAAAAAGGGTTACGTGTCCTTTCACTGAAACATTCGTTGGCCATAAATTATATCATAACAAAAGTGTTACTGTTGGCTGCGTGTCCCATTTTGGGGCACTTTCTGTGCCACGTTTCAAATGAACTGTTAATTTTGAACATTTGTACGCAGCACATGTGTTTTTTTAACACGTCGGCGGGGTAGTATATTGATTTGTTAGCTGCAGTCTAGCCCTACACACGTTTGTTGTGTGGTATTTTTCAAGGTCCGCTTTTTAACTTCCGGATGTGGCGTGTTTTTTGAAAGGGGCGTTTTTTTACCCTCCAGGCCTAAAAAAACACGACTTCACTACTACTATATCCTTCTAAAAGATTTATGTACCTTTACTTCTAAATAAGTTGTGCATAAGTTTGTGTTTTTATACTGTGAAGCTCAGGTAGCTAGCCATGTGAAGCATGTGTTTCAGCATGTGTAAATTAATGTTTAACTGTTACATAACTACTAAACATTCAGGGTCCCATTATTTGGAGTAATTGCCCGAGTATCTAGTCTTTCAGGGTGTGAATTTCATTTAAGTTGATAAAACTTACTAGTAAACAACCATACCTTATTTTTTACCTGTATTTTTGTAGTACTAACCTTACCCCACCTACATTTTTCAGTAGCCTTCATAATATTTTGTAAGATACTAGTACACTGCACTGTCTACTAAACAGAAAATGGAAAAAGACAAACAATCCTTTTGCAATTTGCTATTTTGTTGAAATTTGTATACAAATGAAACCCAGCTTTTCCTCAAATTCTCACCATGATCAATGAATCGAACATAAAAGAAAGATGTGTGAAAAACAGTGAAAGAGAGACTGTGTCCTTGTTTTTAAAAATGGAGAAAAAATTAATAACCTCAAACAAGACGAAACATCCTGGTTCCTTTGTTGATGTACAATTTATCATGTACTCTAGGCCATGAAAATGGAGTCATAAACATAAGGTGGTCAATTGTGTGGTGATTTGAAACGCTGCATATCCTGGTGTCTCTGTTTACACAACTCTCGAGGTGCCATGTGAATAAGGTCTGCTTTAATTTGATTGTCTGGCATGGGAACCCTCCAAAGAACCCTCTGAACATTTTGTACAAAGGACTCTCACTTTTAGATGTGCAAAACTGTTTAGCTGGCTGTGTGTCTCAGTTGCAAATTGATGAAACCTCAAGGAAGCTGGCACCACTACACAGAGATAGCCTGGGTACCATCCGGATTTTTGCTCTGCAACGCTCGAAAAAAAATTTTTTTGAGCATCACGGAGCGAAAATCTGGTTGAGAATTTGTATAAGGTTTTGTGTTTTGAAATGTAGAATGAAAACATGTAGTTGTTCTGCACCAGGTACTGTTCCCATACAAATGTTACACCAGCTGCCACCAGACTAGTAGGGACTGAAAATGTTTGAACAAAAGCTGTTGTTTACAATGGTCATGGTGTACAGGACACGTTTACTGACGAGTCACAGGTCTGCTACAACTGTGTAGAGGGTGTGAGAACATGCATGTTCTTACACGTGTGTCAAAAACATACGCTAACATTAACAATGGTGACCAAACAAGAAGAAAAGCATGAAAATATTTTTGCACCAGAATTTTTCTTTCACCCAACCAAATTTTGATTGGATTTGGTGAAAGAAAAATCCAGTGCAAAAAAGGAACCCCGATAAAAAAGTCTGAAAACACGCCCAAAATAACCCTAAATCCAGACCTCTGCTTGGAGAGTATGAAAATATGTGGTTTACAAAACAAAGCATGTACAATTATACATGTAATTGTTTATGTCCCCTATTGGTAAAATCATAACGTCCTTGGTGGAATATAGAATATATAGGGACACACAAAATTCTGTATGTACTAACTGTATCTTTGTCTGAAATACTTTAAAGAGATGACTGCAATGTTATGTGTACAAATGTTAATAAGGTATCCATCCAAAAGACCAAAGCAAAAAATTTTTTGTACCCAAGAAATGGTTCTTGAACCTTCTCTGCAATGGGTATTTTGTACCCGTACCTGTACATCATGATCAGAAAGAGTAAATATTTTTCAACATTTGCGCACCTGCTAAAATTGTTCCTTTTTGCTCTGTTATCTAGAACAAATATTTCCCCAGCTTTCACCAGGCCTGTAACCCATCCTAATTCCCATGAGTAAAAGGCATAAAGTGACATCTGTGCTATTGTTCTCTGTTAATTAGATTGGTCTGGTGTGTACAACAAACGCTTGATGTATTTTTCATGGCAGATAATGACTAAAAGATGAGGTCGGGGGAGAACACTAGCTGGAACAAAGGAGAGGCGTGTACTGTTGCAGAAAGGGAGAATTGAAAATGCTCAGTGTCCCTGGTGTAAAGAAATTTCTGTACTAGCTGTTCAGGAATTTTACAGGCAGTCGTAGATATTTTTTTGCTAAAGCTACATGCATGAAAGAATTATTAACACAATATGAATGCACTTATGGGTATCATTAGTTTCACTGATAAAAAAACCTTAGATTACCAACGTCTAGTAACATTTTACATGGAAAAATGAAAAGTTATATATACTAGAAACAATAGGTTGATGATATCTGACCCATGTGTGAGCAAATTACCATTTTCAAGCCCTGTCCAAGCAGATATTTTAGGTTTAGTATTGCGTATTAAAGCTGTTTTATCATGTAGACTACTCAAATTCTAGATGTGATGGTATTACTTAAATGTGAACCAGTAAAAATGAATTAAAACAACATGCTAGTATCTGTATTTCAAAACGGTTTCTATCCAACAGACCAACAATGTCAATACTAACTAGAAGTGACTATATTATATAACCCTAACCACCCCTGTGTTTCCCCAGATGATGGCACACTGTGTAACATAGAGGACCTGCCAGACATCAGTGACTTTGGCAGTGCAGACGATCTCTTACAGAGGATACCAGACATAGAGGTGAGATCTCAAGTCATTCTTGTTCAGGTGGATTTTTTTTCATCTACATCAGTATCTGCATTTAAGTGTTTGTGTCAGATATGAAAACTAGATGTCCAAAATACATAGTAGTTTTACGATATTTGTACCAGTCCAGGATAAAACCAACCCATGTCACACTGGTGAAATACAGCCAAGAAATGCCTTTGGCTTTCAAATTCTTTACACTGTAGTAGCATTCTGCAATGTAAAGATTCAAAGTCGTGTTGCTTTGAAGATTTTATGCACATTGTTTCATGGTCAGCCTGATTAGGGCAAAGAAATTGAAGTTTGATTGGAACTTCTGCAGGTATACGCAGAAAATTTAAACCATCATCATGATCATGTCGGGTGGCTTGCCCGGACCGAGTCCACTCTCTCTTTCCAGACAGCTCTGTCCGCCATTAACTGTCCCAGATGTTCAGCCCTCACCCCTACATCACCCCTTCACCACTACGTACACACAGAAAATACTTTTTTGAATAGAAGGTGTAATATGAGAAATTGTGCTCCAATTTAACTTACTACACCTTTCCCCAGTTTGATGACTTGTTAGGAGGAAGGTCTGACCTGTTAGACGGCAGGTCGGACCTGAAGCTGTCTGACGGGTTCAACGACCCCTGGACTGACCTCGACATGAACTTGGACCAGAATGGCTACCAAGGTAAGGCTGGTTCCCTCCAAGGGTACCTCTTATTTACTGAACAAGTGTCATACATAGTTGCAAAGTTTAAGCTTCAAGTCTTTAAGCTTAGTGTCATACATGTACAGCAGTCAGACTTATATAGAGGGTCCTGTTTTTGGTAGCGTAGGTCTTTGTTTGTGTGTTATTTTGTGTGTAAAAGAAATCAAATGGCTTGTCATGGCTTTCTTTTACCTATGTTTTAGTTATTAGGAATAAGACCAAGGTAAATTTTTTGTAGCAGAACATAACCCTTGAGAAAAGTCATGATTGCTGCTAGTTCTACTTTGTCCAAATAGTCAGAGTTACAACTTAACTGTATCGTGATTTTCTATTTTTGTGTGTGTGAGTACATGTAGGTCATGATCTTGGTAAGAAGTTTAAGTAGTAAAATTCCAGCAAAAATCAGGATTCAAATTTGGATGACAACTAGCATTATTCCTTGATTTCTAAATACACTGGTTTCTGTTAGTAACCTGTACCCTTTCCTTCCCAGATGTGCAGGTGAAGACAGAGCCCCTGTCTCCTGCCCCCTCCTCCTGCTCTGACTCATCAGGGGAAGGTTTCTCCAACCAGGTGAGTAACTGGAGTTGTGGTGGACTAAATAAATACAGTCAAACCTGTGCAAGTGACCAACTCTACATAAAGACCACCTGGCCATTGACAATTTGTGACCACTTTTCGTGGTCCGATAGATAATTTTTCCCAAGTGGCATGTCTTTATTTTAAAGAAGCACAGAATTTTGCTTTGTGAATTTCTGAGCTGAAATCTGTTACTGTGTTTTACCTACTTGTGTAGACACAAATCATTTATGGCCAACAGCTTTTCTTGAACTATGGCTTCTGCACTTAATACATGCATCTTATAAAATCTGTATAACTACAGTATAAGCTATATTTTGCATGATGTAGTTTTCACTGTGCCTAGAATAGCTTTAGGTATGAGATGTACCGAAGTCCTACATGTAGGTATAGTTTCTCAAGCATTCTGTTCTTTTTTTCCAGAAGTATTTTGACCACCCCCAGCTGTCCCCACAGAATGGCACAGTCGAGGTGAAGCTGGAAACCCCCCCGCTGACCCCCAGCTCCCAGAACCCCTCCCCCCCTCCCCCCACGTCCCCCTATCAATGTAAACCCATCGTGCCCAAACCCCTGGGGGTCCCCATCATCACAGCACAGCCCACCGGCACACAGACACAGACACAACCCAGTCTACAGGAGACATTACAGAACCTCAAGGCACAGGCTCCAGGTAGGGGTGGTTACAATAGTACTAGCCAGCTTTAAATTTTTTTCTCTGTTATTGCAATTTTTTTGCATTCCATTCTAGCATGAGTTCATCTGATTTTAATGTTTTTCACAACATAACAGTTATGATGTGGAAAATATTGAAATCAGGTCAACTCTAAACACGCATCATGTCTATTTCAATTGGCAGAATGTAAGTGCATGTACATGTATTTTTTAGTAGGGGCAAATCTTATTTGATTTTAGTAGGGCCAAGCTGACAGTGCTAAGCTGGAATTAGATTTGGAAAACATTTTTCCACGTTTTAGGGACAACTGTCGAAAGCTTTGCATCTAAATTCATATTGTTACTGAATTCCTGGCTTCATAATGTCATATGAAGAGCATGGATTCTTATGTAATCTTTCTATTTAACCTTTAACTGTTGACCTCTCACCCCTCAGGTCAGCCCATAGTCCTGACACAGGCCGAGTTTGCCAGACTTGCAGCACAGGGGCTCATCAAGCCGACCAATCAGCAGCCTGTTGCCACGACGACGACCCCACAGCCTGCAGTCCCGTTGACCAATCAACAGCCAGCTCCGCCTCCAGTCCAGGTGCCCCCTGCCAAGCCAATCGCACCTGCCGTCTCCAATCCATCACTGGCCAATGGGAACGTAGATGTAAGTCATATGATTTGGAAGACTGAGTACTTGAGCATGTCGGCAGAACGCACTGCACCTGCGCGAAACCTGTAATGTATTGTACATAGCACTTCGGCAGAAAGTCTCATATAAGGTCGTATTCGCGCATATAAGGTTAACATCCCGTCTGTAGTTTCCAAATGTTGTGTAGGAAAAGATATCCTTTGCAACAGGCAAAATTCTGATGCAACGTTGACCAAAAATCCACGACAAACGTGAAAATACAGGATTCTGTGCAGGCGCAGTACGTTCTGCCGACGTTCTGAGTACTTGTTCGTTGGTGGGCACGTCAGCAGAACATACTGCGTATGCACGAAACCCGTTATGTATTGTGACTAGCTCTTTGGCAGAACATTTTGTTAAATGCCGGATGACATCCCATTTATAGTTTTCAAATGTTGTGTGGGAAAAAGATATGTTGTCTGCAACAGGCAGAATTCTGATGCAATGTTGACCAAACATTCAACAAAAACCGTGAAAAATCTGGGTTTTGTTCTGCTGAAATGCTATGCTGGTGTTTTCTAAAGAATTGGTATTCCTTATATGCACCTCTTTTGCCCTCCCTTTCACATGGTGAAAAATTCAAATAAACAAACTAGAAAGGTAACATTTGCAAAGCAAATGCATAATGTTTACCTTCGCATACTCAAACACATTCATTCACATGGTCAGACAGGAGTCTAAATCCCTCTGCTATAAAATTGCAACATGATGTGACCCAACACTAGTTACCATGGTAACAGACAGTCTGGTTCAGGTTATTGACCTTTTTGGTTTGGAGGAGAAGAGAAAACGTACCAAAAACAATATGTTTTCCTTAACAATAAAGTTTTAACACATTTCTTACCCCTCTCCACAGATAAAGGTCCTGAAGCGGCAACAGCGAATGATTAAGAACCGAGAGTCGGCCTGTCTGTCCAGGAAGAAGAAGAAGGAATACCTCCAGGGTCTTGAAGACAAACTCAAGGCCCTCGGGCAACAGAACGAGAAGCTGAGACAGGAAAACAACTTACTCAAGAAGAGGGTACAATTTCTAAACAACGAGGTAAGGACTTGGGTGAATGAATGCTGGTGTGTTTGTATCTGTGAATAGCAGGTTGTGTTAAAAATAGTACATGTAATTGTTTTTTTGGTAGTTGTAAAGTCGTTAACCAAATTTCAGTGAACACATATTGTAGCCCCTTCATTTTACAATGTTTTTTCCTGTGTCCAGATTTGTACATAATATTGTAATAATACTAGCAGCAATTTTGATTTCTCCAAAACTTTAACTTTTAATTTTATCATCATTTCCTCCTCAGAATGAGAGACTACGGAGTTCCAAATCACTCTTTGGCAACAAACAAACCACCGTTGCTATGGCGATACTTTTCCTGGTCTGCTTCAACCTGGCCCCACTGGCTACATACAGGTATGGGACTGTTTCTTCATTCTTCATAGGCATTGATAACCAGCACATTGGCAGAACCTACTGTGCAAAACTCACGGTCTTCATTGGATGTTTGGTCTATGCTATGTCAGACTTTTGCCTTTTGTTTTAGGCAATGTCTTTTCCGACACAAAATTTGAAAACTATAGATGGGACGCCATCCTTAAATATGTAATTAAAAAGACATTCTACTGAAGTGCTAGGCACAATACATTACGTGTTTTGCACAGGCGCAGTACGTTCTGCTTGTTACATACTATTTTTGTCATAGTGTATTACACTGTATTTTGTTCTAGAGGTATTATGTATTTGTCTTTCTATCCTTGAAAGACCTGGTGTTAATTGACACAGTACAATATTTCCCCAGTTTGTTCAGAAGAACATCAGAGCCAGAGTTAGGAGACATCCCGATCCGCCATGCTCGGACCCTCCTGCAGTTCTCAGAAGATGGGAACATGTACTCACAGGACCCTGACCAGACCAACGACTTCAGGTAATATCATGTAACAAGCTTAGTTGGATGGATGGTGACTCATATGGTGTTCATATGGAAAAGGACCCGTGTTTAGCTAGCCTGGGTGTCAGCCCTTACCACAAGTAAGTGCTAGGGGCAGAGAAACCCCGATTTGGCACCCTGGCTCTAATTACCGTGAAAGATAAGGGTTTGTGCGGATACCCTTGTAGCAGACATTAGTGCTTCCCCCCCCCCCAAAAAAAAATCTATCGCTTATGAAATGCCAGCATCTTGCACCCAGGCTAATGTTTAGCTCACTCTTAGAGCTATCCTTCCAGTGGTTGTGACAGAGAAGACAGACGCTATGTACAGTATTTACAGGTTCATTGTACCGGGGAAATTCCCCTAGCTCTTTTCAACAAGCACAATGAACACAGTGGTCCACTGCTTAATGCCCTGTCCTAAGGACTGCAATCCTGTCTGGTAGCGTGCATGTTGAGTGTCTGAGTGACAACGGGTGGGATTCTAACTCCTGTAGCTGAACGGGATTGAGATGCACATTTTTTGTCCATTTTTCTTCAGGTACAGTGACCCGCCTGCGGACGTGGTCCCCGGGAATGAGAGTAAACCCGGGCAGGAGAGGAGCAGCAGCCTGAGTGACAAGGCTCTCATGATCCTTCCTGAGTTCCCCAAACCCTCGGGCAGGAAACCTGGCATGGAGGAGAGGGTGCTTCCCTCATGTCCACTCTTCAACACTACTGACTCCATCAGGTAAGTGGTGCTTATACATAAGTTATACAGTTATAGATGCTATGCTTGTAAGATCTTGCCTGAGTTCCCCAAACCCTCGGGCAGGAAACCCGGCATGGAGGAGAGGGTGCTTCCCTCATGTCCACTCTTCAACACTACAGACTCCATCAGGTAGGCATATATCAGTAGGTACTTCCCTGAGTTCCCCAAACCCTCGGGCAGGAAACCTGGCATGGAGGAGAGGGTGCTGCCTTCATGTCCACTCTTCAACACTACTGACTCCATCAGGTACATGTACAACACACGTAGCTTGTAAGGTAGATAAGTATATCAGTAGGTACTTCCCTGAGTTCCCCAAACCCTCGGGCAGAAAACCTGGCATGGAGGAGAGGGTGCTTCCCTCATGTCCACTCTTCAACACTACAGACTCCATCAGGTACATGTACAACACATGTAGCTTGTAAGGTAGATAAGTATATCAGTAGGTACTTCCCTGAGTTCCCCAAACCCTCGGGCAGGAAACCCGGCATGGAGGAGCGCGTCCTGCCTTCGTGTCCGCTCTTCAACACTACTGACTCCATCAGGTAGGCAGGTTCTAATGTATAGACTACATGTAGCTTGTAAGGTTCTACAGTAGATGCTATGGTTGTACCTGCCTGAGTCCCCAAACCCTCAGGAAGGAAACCCGGCATGGAGGAGAGGGTGCTTCCCTCATGTCCACTCTTCAACACTACTGACTCCATCAGGTAGGCAGGTGTTAGATACTGTAGCATGTAAGGCCCTGATGATCCTGCCTGAGTTCCCCAAACCCTCGGGCAGGAAACCTGGCATGGAGGAGAGGGTACCTCCCTCATGTCCGCTCTTCAACACTACTGACTCCATCAGGTAGACAGGGGTTGCTTTGCCTTGTTACATTTTAGGGTCTTTTTCTCAGACAACCATCTTATAGATGAATGTGTATGATTAACAATCAACCCAGCCTTTCAGACAGCATTCAAAAAGTCTAATAGCATATCAGCATGTTTTGAAATGTGTCCAGTTGAATAAAGACCTGACACCTGTTTATATACACTCTAATGTTATAAGTTGTCCGTAACTTTTGACCTGGTACTGTCTGACAAAGTATCTGGTACACAGATTTTGTGTCAACTTTCACAGGTTCTGAATAAACCTACCTTTTAGTAGACAGGGGACCAGGGATAGTTTTATTAAGCTCAAAGTATAGAACTGAACAGCACAGACGTTTGATAAACTGTTTCGTTACACATGACTTGTTTGATGTACAGGTTGGCGGACGAGCTGACCGGCTGGCTGGCCGGGCTGCACAAACAGGAGTTCAAGGAGAAACAGCAGACAAAGAAGAAAACTCAGCCCAAGAAGAAGGTGGGTCAACAATTAAAATCTTGGAGTTTTTTCTCCCAAAATTTCCAATGTGATACCTATCACAGGTACAACTTATTACACAGCCCTCTTTTAGTCGCTGATGAAGGATGCTACCTGCAACGTCTGGCTGTTTTCAAACTCATCCAGTTGTTGAGTAACTGTTATCTCATTATCACAAATACAGTATTTTTCCTTACCTATCTTGGCCGCTTGCAACCTTAAATTCCTGAAACCTTAAGGGTTGCCTCATGTAGCACTGTTGACAAATGTGTTGGGCTATCTTGTATTATTAGGCTGCAATGTTGTTTTAGTTTTATGTCAATTTGCAAATAAACCATTTACACATGCACAAAGTTTTCCACAAATTGCTAAACTCAAGTTTGTTTGTTTTTGGGTTTTTTTAAACATCGAACTGAAAGTGTATTGTTTCTCCCCCCAGCCTGCAGTCCACAGGTCCCCCAAGCGCTACAAGAACACAGACCTTGCCCTGGCGCCCAGCGGGGAGGGCGAGGTTTACGAGGTGCAGGTGTTCGGCGGGCCGGATCGCAGCTACCTGGAGTTCCTGGAGGCCATCAACAGGAGGGAAGACACCTTCTATGTTGTGTCATTCAGGAAGGTATGTCGTAAGGGTTTTTTCTCATTTCGTGTGCTACTTGAAGATGCACAGACTTTTATTTCTATCATGAGAGTTCATGTAAGTTGGTAGAGTAGAATGTATTATGACCTGAGGGATTGGGTCAGATAGCTGAAGAACACTGAGTGATTCAGACAGAAGTTACGGTTTAGTCACTCACTTAGTGTTGTATTCTCCTCTTTTACAAAAAAAAGCAACAACAGACTACATTTCATTCTACATAGAATACTTTACTGTTAAATTTCACTTTTAGCAAGCATCAGACCCTTTCTGCATGTTAAGTGCCTCTCCAAAGGGTGTGGGGATTAAAACCCAGAAACCCTAGATTCTGAGACACTCAAGGCCACACCATGCCATGCCTTCTACAATTGTTATAAATCTTGTTGTTTCTTCCTGTCCCCAGGACCATCTGCTGCTGCCTGCCACGGCTCACAACAAGACCATGAGGCCGCGCATGTCTCTCCTCATGCCTGCTGTCAACGGTGGGTACTCATGGACTTTTCTACTTGTGCCTGTATTTTGTAGCCATAAGCCCATAACCATTAGGTGTAAGACACCAGCTTCAATGTATATTGAATCAAATATTAATCAAATGAGGAGAATTTGTGTAATACAAGCTGTATACTGACTGGTTTTGATTTGGTTTAGTGGATTTATTTTGTGGTTGGGAGGGAGGAGGTTCTTGGTGTGTTTTAAGTTTGCTGTTGAAAAAATTCTTTAATACAGTTGTAATTCACCTACATGTATACACATACTGCTTTTGAGATCTTAAAAATGCATGCAGTGGCTTCTTCAAGGTACATGTATATCTATCCTTAGAATTCATTCATTCATTCATTCATACATGCATTCATTTATGCATACAGACTTTCAAACACACAGACAAGTTGGGATGCCTACAGGAATAACACACAATAAAGTTGTTGTAGATTAGTCATAGGCAATAAGTCACTCTGATTGAAGAATCCCATGTTTCTCCTCTTCCAAAGAAACTGTCGGCTGAATAAAAAAACTTGGTCGTGTAAAAAGAGTCTCTTTACTTTATGCACGCAATAAAGTTGACTAGTCAGTGTGTAATTTTTATCAAGCTCATGTTTCTCCTGTTCCACAGAAACTGTGATGGACACCCGCCAGGGGCACATGGCCATGATGCAGATTGACTGCGAGGTCATGAACACCCAGATGATCCAGCTCAAGACATCCAACATCCCTGCCTATCTCCGCGACAACGCAACCTACACTGTCCCCTCCCCCAACATGGACCCCAAAACTGTCCACGGCCACCCCCACCCAGAGGGCACCATTCCTCCTAACTAGCCAATCACAGCACTCCTTACAAGTCAACAGCCAATCAGGAGTGTTCTTGTGAATGTGCAGAGCCAATCACAACACTCCTTAAAAATTAACAACCAATCAGGAGCACCCTTGTGAATGAGCACAGCCAATCACAGTCCGCGATGTTGTGATTGGCTGGGTACATTCCTAAAGTTGTTTCTAATTGGCTCCTTAAAAGTCAACAGCCAATCAGGAGTGTCCTTGTGAATGTACCCAGCCAATCACAATTCGCGATGTTGTCATTGGCTGGTGTACATTTCCAAAGCTGTTTTCTGATTGGCCATTGTGAGTGTTTGTAACCAATCACAGTTTATATTGTGACAAATCAACCAATCAGGAAGAGCGGCTTCTTGCTGGTTGAGAGGTTTTGCTTGTTTTCCAGTTGTACAGAGGAGTGATTTGAAAAAAAAAAAAAAAAGAAGAAAAAATCTTATCCAGAAAAACAAGCAGTTTGTATTTTCCAAGCAAAGGAGGTTTTTTATCTCAAAAATTTTGTTGAAAGATGCCAAAATAATTTGATGTGGAGGTTTTTGTCCTGTATCAGTATTTACAGGAAGAAAATGAACAATGGTAGCTATTTGATGCAGCTATGAGGTGTGGTATAACCACATCGCAAAGAAAGAAGTTTTGAAAGCTACGAGAAAAGATTTTATACATATTATGGAGGAAAGTATTTTGTGCTTGTAAAATACCATGCATGTATGAGTGAGGGTTGAGAAATATTACTGGGGACTGGTGGACCAGGGCATTGTTGCAATATTAAGGCAGCAGAAGAGACATACTTGTGGATCAAGATGGTGCATCTTTGATCATATTAAATCATCATATTAAACTTATAAAACTGTCACAAACGTTAGTAAGCTGTTGGGACTTGCCAGTGGTTGAAGTATAGTTTGTTATGAAAACAGAAAAAATATATAGAGAGAATGTGTTATTACATGAAACTTAATGCACAGATTTCTAATTTAAAGGTAGCCTGTGCCAGATTTTCACATTTTTTGTGTTACATTTTGTACAATTTCAATCCATTTCTGACAATCTGAAAGCTCTGCAGAAAATTGTGTTTTCTTATGTACCTATGACATCAGTCTTTTTCCATTTACATGTACAAGTACATGTATGTCACTGTCTTTCTAATATTCTAAGACGGGAAAGTTCAGCTACAGTAGCAAGAAACTATACAGTCAAGTAGATCAGAGTTGTACATATCTTTATTCTACATGTAGCTGTAGCACAATTCTTGCTGCTCTGTGACTAAATAGCCTGTACTGTTACTTTTGAAAGCAGTATCTGTACTTAATAATGGAGCACTTAGTCCATTTTATCATATCAGTAAGTAGTATGATTTTCCTTTATGGGTGTGAGAGCAGAAGTTGAACGATTTGTGGATACTAAGTTGCAGTAAGGAAAGGAGAGTATGCCTGTATTTTGTGAGGAGGGAGGGTAGGGTTGGGGGGTATTTATTATGTATGTGTGGATGGGCCTTTTGCATGGTTGTCTGGTATGCTTTACAATCTGCTTATGTGGCATCTATGGTGTTCTTAATAGCTGGTTTACATTCTGATGGTGCATAAAGCTTATGACTATCAGTTATGTGACTAGCTTACATGTATGTCCATGAAGGTTGGACATCAAAGTGGAACATTATGTAATCAAAATTAATCAAGCAACTGGTTAATTTTTTAAACTCAATATGTATTACGTGCACCTATGATTTTGTTTGATTCAGATTTCTAGCCAACAGCTAGCAAAGAAATTACAACATTCAGAAGGAGAATTTATTGTGCTAAAGATGCTGTTACAAGAAGTGACACATTTGTATGCTAGTCCGAACATTATTTCTTATGTTTATATTCTATCATGTTTAAGAACAGGACCAGGCATTACTAGACATCTAGTACTGTACATGTAGTTGAAAAGACTGAATTTTTACACACATTTTGAATGTGTATCTTGTAGGTGGTGCTTGAGTAAATGTGTCAGTGATTTTATTTTAGGAAAAGTTCTTAATTTTTTTCTGTCAGCATGTCAATGTATACAGGCTTTAGAGCTGTAGCTGTTTCCACATTCCTACATTTTGAAAAAGAAGGCATGTTTAGAACATTTATATCTAGTATGCAATACCATAGTAAGCATTGAGTTTGCATGTAGATGTCAGAAGGAAAGAGGCTTGTTGCTCATGATGTAAATAGAGCTTTACGAAAAAGGGAGGGGAAACAGAGATGTAAATATTTGATGGGAATAAAGGTTTCTACCTTGGAGTATAAGATTTATCAGATTGTTGTGTCTTCTGTCTGAGAGAACTGCTACCCTAGATAATACCATTCTTCCTTCTACACTATGCCAGAACCATAGCATGCTAGGCCCAGAGTCAGGGCCTAACTGAGGGTGGCTGTGGTATAATTTCCTTGGGTACATGTTGGCTCTGGAGCCCAGAAACTGGTCTGTACGTTTGGGCCCTGGAAACAGTCTGGCACCTAGGCTAAAGAGCTTGCCCTCTATGATAGGTTGAAGTGTATTCTACAAAGATGCTAAGTTTGGAATACTGTATTTGCTATCTCTTTCATCTGAAACAAGTAGGGTCATTGATAACAAGCTTTATTATTGACAGCCAAAAATGTACACACCGTAAGCACATTGATATCATGTAATAAGCATTGTCTTGACATGATATGTCCACAAAAACTTAAATCGACATCAATCTACTAGCTTAAAATTTGCTCTCAGTCACGTAAACCACTGAGCACCATAAACAGCAGCAGCATTTGCTATCACATACTGGTGGAAACGCCCTCTGGCGGCAAGTTGCTAACTACAGCCGCATGAAGCTTCATTCATTGCGGAGGGTGCAACATACATGACATGGACGGAATCGTCTTTTCTTCCATCGTTTTTAATCATTGCAAATTATATCTTCGTCGCCACCATCCTTGGGTATCATTTAATAGTATCTAGCCTTGACAGTCCTATATACTATGCAATTGTACCCTTACAAAGTTAAAGCACCACTTTTGCAACTTAATTTCTAAGCACTCCTAAAACAACAACCTAACTACTACTGTACCAGCCTCGACCTTATTTCCAGACAAACAGTGAAGTTTCATACGTTATTCATTTCCTCTTTCTGTAACGATAATGAGAATAGTAATTTTTAAAACTCCATCGCAAAAGTACAATGTTGCAGAGATATCTGACTTATCATAATGATTGTTTGTGAGATCCCAAACATCGATGCCTAAGCGACCAGTGACAGTTTCTAAACTACGTACACGTCTAGTGCCTTCTTGATGCCTCTTTTTGTGTGTTGAATATAGTATTTTTTTAAAATCCCCACCGCAAAAGTACAGTGTGGCAGAGACTTTTGACTTCAATGTCTGTGAGATCCCAAACCGATGCCTAAGTGACAAGTGTCAGTTTCTAAACTACGTACACGTCTAGTGTCTTCTTGATGCCGCGCTTGCAGTACGGGCACTGTTGGCGCGTGAGAGCAGAGCCCCCTGGCAGCTTGCCGTGGCACTGCCGGCACATCGCGAAATGACAACACGGTAAGGTGACCACCGCCCGCTCGTTCACCCCACACAACGAACACAGCCGCCACTCCATCGCTTTTTCCACCTCATCCGCTAGACGCTCGTTTTCTGCTTGTAGCTCTTCCACCCTCGCTGCGTCGCTGTTGTGAGCCTCCACGTGGGATTGGAGACTGAGGGAAGACCGGTACAGTTCGTCGCAACGTTGAGCCGACTCCCTGTGAATGAATGAATGAATGAATGAATGAATGAATGAATGAATGAATGAATGAATGAATGAATGAATGAATGAATGAATGAATGAATGAATGAATGAGTGAGTGAATGAATGAATGAGTGAATGAATGAATGAATGAACTGGTTTATTTATTATTTACAACACACATACCATTGCAGCCTTACATGGCTGAATTGGGGCACATTAAAATTTATCAAGAATGGTTCAGCAAATTGACAATAAAATGTAAAACACCATTGCTCTGTCATAGCTAACATAGTATCTGCTTTTCTGATTATCCTGCTAGCCTCTACCAGGCTTCGGGAGGCGGCTGGAAAGAGTAGAAATCGGCCAAATAGGAAGATAACATGCCAAGGGAGTGGCGAACTGTTCTCTCTCTTTTTGGCCGATTTCTACTCTTTCCAGCCGCCTCCCGAAGCCTGGTAGAGGCTATTATCCTGCCCGCTCTCTTTTGTACTGCTTCTATGTACTTGGACTGTAAAGTAGTCAGACCTGTGCTGTTGCTCCGCCTGTTTCGCCCGGTCGTTCAGACGCCCGATGCGCCGCTTCAGGTGCAGGCAGTAGTTCGTCAGCCGCTCGTTCGAGTCGTTCGCTTCCTTCAGACGCGAGTGGATTTCTTCCGTGCTCTGCTGTTTTTCCTTCGTCAGTTCTCGTCTCAGGCTCTCCGCTTGGCTTTCCAAGTCTTGCTCGCTCGTCTTGGCTTCATCTAGTTCGAATTTAAGACGTTGGACTTGAGTTTCGAGACGTTTCTTGTCTCTAAACATCGTGTCTAGCTTGTCTTGAAAGTCGGATATCTCTTCTTCGAGGAGGCGCCGACGTTCCACCTCCGTGGCACGAAACTTCCCGACCTCCTCCCGAACGTTACCGAGCTCTTCCTCCCTTTCGGCGACTGCTCGCGACAGTTCTTTCACTCTCTCGGCCAGACCGGCCTTGTCTCGCAGCAGGTCGCATGTGACCACGCGGCCGATCCCGCGGAACGCCGACACGCCTCTCCCCTGCTTTGTAACCCTGCCCTGTAGCTGCCGGTGTTGACTTTTCAAGACCGCCAGCTCGTCCGACAGAGCGGCCATGCCGTCCAGCTCCCTGCCATACTGCGCCGCTCTGCGCTCCGTTTCCTCCAGTTTGTCCTGCAAACATTGAACCTGTTCCCAACTACACCTGTCACTCTCCTCTTTATCCTCACGTAAGGTCTTGTTCTCAACCTCTAACTCTTCTAGCCGACTTCTAAATGCTTCCCTCTCTTGCAAAGCTGTATTTAAAGCAACCCTTCCTTCTTTTTCCCTCCTAAGAAGCGAGAGAGCCCAGCCTATTAAAGCGGCAATGAGGAACGCCGTAACTGTTGATACGAGCACGGCCATACTTTAAGGAGTGGGGTCAGTGGTAAACAAACCAAACAAGTTGCTCGACGTTCCGAGCCCTCACCTGTGTAACATACGACTGTCTCTTCTCAAGCACGACAGACTGTCTCTGAAATTAGTCCCATCTCTTGGTGTCCCTTGCGTACCTCCAGAACGTTGAATTCTGCCAGAGCTGGTCAGATAGTTTCTCAAAACGTTTTCAGCTTGCCGTTGTCGAATTCAGCGTCTTGTTTTGAAAATTAGTAGAATGGCGGTGAAAGTAGTGTGCGTTACCGGCCTACTTTTCCCGTCTAATCCAGACCCTGTGATCACACCAACGCGATGACAGAGACCTCCCAGCGTCGACCTCATTCCTTCAGCCGAAGCCTACACGTGCTCGCTTCCCAAACGATGGCGTTTTAGCCCGCTCCATCTTTCCAAAACTTGTACCATTCGCTGTTTTCGTGCCACCGGTTGGACTACAACAAACATCCCAGCCAGGCGAAAGAAAGACCTTACTCCGACTGGAGCTCGGCCCAGTAACACGGACTTTGCGCAGTGTACACAGGAAAAAGTCAAATAAACGCCGTCCAAACACCCAACAAAAGCTGCAGACGACACCTCTTTAATGATTAACGGAGCCTGACTTGTTCCACCGGGAGTCCAGGGCCAAACAGTGCCGCGCATGTTTGCAGCGTGTTTGCCCAGCGCCCATTTTTTTCCACCACACCTTAGTTTGAGGGCTGATAGCGACAGTGTTGGTGGGACAACTCTATCGAGTGTTGACAAAAGGAAACGCATACGTGCCTGAGTTCGACAACAACCTTTAGTTTCTTAAAAGCCATCCTTATCCGTCGACCTTCCGCCAGTGATCCTATAACTGCAACTTCCAGAAGATTAAGATACCATCAACTGAGCGATCCCAAATGAAGATAGGATAAGGAGAGTACAGAGGAACAACTTATAACATTTTGTTATGTTGTGTTTTCTGTGATTCTATGCAACACACACGTGTGTACGTAGCCTCCGTAGCAGGCTTATAGAACTGGGGTTTGGTGGTCTTCGGCTGTTTTCTGATTAGCCCAGTTCTAAAAACTGGGGTTCTTCAACCAAGCCGGCTATGTTGTCTATATGCAATCAGAAAATAGCACATTAAAGCTCCCAAAGACCCTGAAGACCCCCAAACCCCCCAGTTTTTGGCATGCTATGGAGGCTACTACTAACATTTGTACGCAAGTCGTGCGTGCGAAAATCATTTCACAACACTTCACATACACCTGTTCTACCCACGCCATGAATTGCTCTTTTCATGCCACCGTTGCCAAAGTGGTGGTACACGGGCTAAACAGTTTATTCTACTAGCTACCACGCTCACGGCATATATATTTACCTACCAATTATAATAGGCAGTTAGTAGCTGTGCTTCCTTTTTAGTAATCCCTTTCAAACATGATTGTGTATTCTATGTATCATAAAATGTTTACCAAGATTTTCTACTCTCCAAGCAGAGGTTTTGGTTTTGGGTTATTTTGGGCGTGTTTTTAGGCTTTTGTGTAAAAAAAAATCCGATAAAAAAGCCTAAAAACACGTCAAAAATAACCCCAAACCCCAAACTCTGCTTGGAGAGTAAAGATTTCCATCCCAGTGACTGGCGCCGAAACAGACTTTCAACATTTGTTTTTTGTACAAGTAGATATTTTATTTTTCTCAATTTCTTGAAGCATAAAAACAAACGTCGATGAAGGTTAGACATCCAGGTAATACGATACGCCAAAAAGCAGTTACTCAAGCAACTGGATCCAAAATCATATCCAGTTGCTTGAGTAAACTGCTGTTTTGCGTAGCATAAAAACAGACACCTGTACCTAATGTGCACTATGCAGCCTGGCCACTTAATGCGTTATTTTAGCGCAGAGGGAACCGTGTTGACTTTACGTTTATCTCTAGCTGACTGCCAGTCACTTTGGCAAGGCCTGCAACCAAAAAGGGCGGAACGTGAAGACAGAATTCTCTGGTGTCTGGTGAGGTCAGATGTCAAGAGTTTGGTAGTGTGTCTGGTTGGTTGGTTGGTTGGTAAGTTGGTTAGTTAGTCACTTTGGCAAGGCCTGCAACCAAAAAGGGCGGAACGTGAAGACAGAATGCTCTGGTGTCTGGACCTCACTGGAGAGGTCAAATGTCAAGGGGTTGTAGCGTATCTGTCTGGTTGGTTGGTTGGTAGGTTGGTTGGTTAGTTAGTTGGTTAGTCAGTTTGGCAAGGCCTGCAGCCAAAAAGGGCGGAACGTGAAGACAGAATTCTCTGGTGTCTGGGCCTCACTGGAGAGGTCAAATGTCAAGGGTTTTGTAGTGTGTTTGGTTGGTTGGCTGGTTGGTTAGTTAGTTGATTGGTTGGTTGGTTGGATGGTTGGTTGGTTGCATGGTTGGTTGGTTAATTAGTTGACTGGGTAGTCGATAGATCGACCGGTCAGTCGGATGGTGGGTGTAATAAATCAATCAATAAATCGATAATTGTGATACCCAATGTCATTGTGTGAGACAATAAAGTAGATCCCAATGATATTTTAGAATCATGCCTATATCCAACCCTATTGCAGCTACCGTTCTGTTCCCTCACAACTTGATATTATGATCATGACGGATATCAGGCTAATATACGAACCGTGTGCTTTCCTGTTATTTTGACCCACTATGACCTGCACATACACACACACGGACTTTGCCCTTGCATCTATATATGTACTAATCTATGACCACATAGGCTGTACCTTAGCCTCCGAAAGTTTAACCGTCATGTCACTGTTCAAGGTCTAACACTAGTCATGACATGGCGGTTGTAGGGATGAAATCATTGCTGGTTCTTCCAATTGTACTCGTCTTGTGTTGCCTATCGGTCACCAACGGGCATCGCAATGGGCATGGGGTGAAACCTATCACAGAAGAGGTAAGGCTATACCATTTAAAAAGTTCAGATGGGGGGGGGTATCAAACATACACAGTTTTCTAACTAAGGTGTATCAGCCATACATGTACAACTATGGGAGAGGGGAGGGTGAACATCGCGACATGGCAATGAAAACAAAGAATGGAGGGTGTTTCAAAAGGCTCTTGACCATATCTAATAAGATTTCTGGCTACCAGTACTTCAAGACTGACCTAAAACTAACAAACCATGCACCGCTGCAAGTAACTTAGTAAGATGTCAAAACATAGACACATTTTGCTGGCGCAACGATTCAGACTCACACAGAAGTGTACATGTTTCCTGTAGACAGAAGGGATCTGAAGATTAGAGCAGGATCAGTAAGGATTAAGTCTCATGCCGGTATTGTAAATGTCCGTGCTGATCCGATCTGCCACATGCGGTAACACGTACTTATAGTTAGAACTGTACCAGCTGTGAGGCTGTGTTTTCGTTAGGGGGTGGATACGCGTCAGTTTAGCACAGTGTTTGGGATTTGAAAGCTTTAGCTCTATAAACACAAAACATTACATGTTTTTCTCTACTTGATAAAATCATCAACATTGCATCAGTTTCTGCATCCATTTGTCCACATAACCAAGTATCATTCATTAAGCCACAAGTCCATTCATTTATCCATCCATCCATTCATCCATCCATCCATTCATTCATTCATTCAATTTATCTCTTCAATATCCATTAATTATTCACTCATTCATGTATCTGTAGCTTCATTCATTCATCTACCAGTCTACCCATCCGCTAATTTCATTCACTCACTCACTCACTCACTCACTCACTCACTCACTCACTCACTCACTCACTCACCCACCCACTCACTCACTCACTCACTCACTCACTCACTCACTCACTCACTCGCTCACTCTTTCATCCCTCCTTCCCGCCAGTATTACGACCGTATCCTGCTGTACTACACGAACCTGACCGTCGCCATAGACAAATCACCATGGAGACTGCAGGTGTTCGATAACCACACGGAGGCCGCCATCTTGTCTGAGAGCACCGATGTCGACAAGAAACTGGTACGAAGGTCAAAGTTTAAATTCGTCTTTAGCAGAAGCCATTATGAAGCAAGTTTGAAGACAAGACTTGCCCAAATTTTTGACTGTACACCTGCAGTCTTTGTCAAGAAATGAGCAATCCATTGCAACGGTTCCTCAACAAGGACGGGGGGCGCCACGGACTTTCTGCAACATATATGACCCATGCAACATATGTGTCATTACATAACGTGACGTCACAGATGTGGTAGGTCCCTCATTCCTTGACAAAGACTGGAGTTGTACAGTTGAAAATTTCGGCAAGTCCATTATTTATGTGTTGGAGATTACCGTTTTAACTTGCTTCACATGCTTCATAGTAGCGTGCGTAGTCCAGTGGTTAGCGATCCTGCCTCTGGACTAAGAGGTTGGGTGTTCGAATCCCGGCTGTTGGCACTCAGCCGACATGCACGCTACTGTTTAGGATCGCAGTCCTTAGGACGTGACGTTAAGCCGTGGTCCACTGTTCATTGTGCTTGTCGAAAAAGAGCTAGGGAAATTTCCCCGGTACAATGAACCTGTAAATACTGTATATAGCGTCTGTCTTCTCTGTCACGACCAGTGGAAAATTAGCTCTATAGTGAGCTAAACTGGCTCAAGATCACTTTTTCACATCCATTTTTCTGTCCCTCCTTAGGGTTTCGGCCTATGGGAAGGGGAGTACCTGAACATCTACGAGGGTTACCTGTTTCGCGCGGGTGACGTCACACGGTGGTACCACGCCACGTCACTCCTGACCTATCAGAAGCCAGCTACGTTCGTAGTGATGACGTCAGACACGGAGAACAACGCCACGCTCACGGTCGTCATAGACAACCCGCGCCAGTTCCAACTGTCGGTCAAGGTCAACGTCAACCATCCGGGAAAAGGGTCAGTAGGATATGCTATTTCCTTGTTCGTTTCACTTTGTACATTTTCTGAGGAGCCAGCCGGATAGAGAAACTAAGTTTCTGTTGCCGAATCTTTGCAGATTTCTTTCTTTTTAATCTGCAGTCAAATAAATGAAATAGATAAATATTCTTGTGCAAAGATGAAATGTAGATTATTATCGTCAAACATTTTGCGAGTATTGTGACTGAAAACAACATACAAAATAATGGCAGAAGACCAACAAGAGCAAATGAGTATCTTATGGTCTTTGCTACGATTTTAGTTTTGATAAGGTTTACCACATACATGAATTTTCAGATTGTAAAGATTTCTAAAACTACAAATGTAAAATCATTTTGTTATTTTGAACCTTGCCTTTTCTTATCGTCTTTCTCCACGCAGAAATCGAGTAGCGATGGGTTTCAACCTGGTGAACAAAACCGAAGGATTCTATGGCTTTGGGGAGAGGTGAGTAAACTAACTGATTCATACTCTTATATGTATTATTTCAGTTTCTGTCTTAGATCTTCCTAACCTAACAATAGTAGAGAAATACCAGTGTATTATTTAGTGGTTATTTTTGATTTCTTGATCATCACGAAGGTTTAACGACGCGAACCAGCGCGGCCACCGTGTGGGGCACTGGCTGGAGGAAGGGTCGTTCGGCCTGGGCAACTGGGACAAGGATCTCCGCGTGAGTTTGGTGTTGGTCGTCTGTAGTTTCCGTACTTGTCTCTTTCTGTATCTGTATCTGTTTCTGTATAGTTGGTATAACCGCCCTTTGGTGTAAAACACCAGCTTCTGTATCTGTGTACCGTCTGTATCTGTATACCGCCCTTCGGCGTAATAGACCAGCTTTCTTGATGTTTATGATGTTTTACAGGTGCCGAAAGGCGAGCTGTGTACGTACGCTCCCATGCCTCTGACTATCTCCTCACGGGGGTACGGACTGCAGATGGACATGTACCACAGGTAGGGAGCCGGCCAAAAGTCTTTCCTCTCAGAGATCTTGTCAAAATAAGTACACTTACGACAGGTAATGTTAGGGATAGTCATCTGTGTTGAGCATTGGGCAGTGTTATCCATTTTTGGTACAGTAAGGGTTAGGGTTTAAAGTTAGCCTAGCCCTAACCCTATAACCCTATAACCCTAACCCTACAATGCTTTTAAACTTTGTAGTATATGGGAGGCAGCGGACTACGAACATTTGCCAGTTGATGGTTGCTGTGTCAGACGCCTAAGAATATTTGCTGTCAAATAATCTATTTCCAATAATCTCGCAAAAGTACCTAGAGTTTTTGCCTTACTGTACCCACCATCACAGGACCGTGTTTGACTCTAAACGCTGGGATGACGTCATGTATATCGAAGCAGAGGCAGACTTCTTCCACATGACCTTGTTCGCCGGCAGGACGCCAAGGGTACGTAAGACTTTGTCGTGCTCGAACCGGAAAACGTTGTTTTTCACACTTCTCTAAGGCCATGTTGATTTGATTATATGGATGACATCCTCCGGGAACCCCAAAATTGATGCGCGCGTGCGAATAAAAAAAAAGTTTTGCAAAAAAAATTGTTTTCATTATGAAATCTACGTGGTCATGAGGGTTGAACAAATGGGACGGAATATGGTTTGGCGAATAATCTAGTCTTCAAGTTCATTTCTTTACAATTTCGTCTTTTTTCGTTTGATTTTGGCATTCTACGACATTGGTATGGTTTTTTTGTAACTTACGGTATATTTTTGCTCATTTTGCAACTGTTTTGTACGATTTACAGTATGGTTGAAAACTTTTTTTTTAAACGGCCGAAAATTCATGCGCGCGCGGATGTCATCCATATAATCAAATCAATATGGCCTAACTATTGATAACTTATGGACAACAGTTTGGCAAGACCACAACTTACTTTATAGCTTGCTCTCGTTGACAGGTAGACATTGTGTGGAACTTGTGATTGTTCTGTACGTGTATTGTGACAGTGAAATTCGGTGACCATAGATACAAGAGTGTGTTATGTTGTAGAACAAATATTACGTCCCTTTGTTACCTTTACTGTCTTGGTTATAGGTATGTATGGCAGCGTCGTTGGCTACTACATGTCCAGTAAGAAACACTCTTCTATCAAATGTGTCTTGAGAACAATATCGCATTATGACATAAAACAACAACCGAGGAAGCGGCAGAGTCACATCAAGCGACAGCACCAGCAAGTTTCTTCTCCCTTGCTCCCCTTGCTCGAAGGAAACTCTTGATACAGTCTTCCCCTTCCTGTCGTTGTAGATGTGTCGAAGGCGTTCCAAGTCATTTCAGCATTCTGGCGAGGCCTGGTCCTTTCCTCGAAGTTGTTGGGATGATGCAACTGCATCTGGCGCGAAAGACTACGAGACAGTCCGACGCTCCCCAATAGCATATACGTTTGGAAAACCCGGATATTTATTCTTTCTTCTTCTTCCAACCTTTTCTGGTCGTTTCCAGTTGTTTCAGTCAAATTCTCCGATTCTGGAGAATGATGCGTTATTTCTAGCTTACCGGTGTAAACGCAGCCGTTGCCCGCTGGTTTTTCACTACTTTTCCTGACTGGTGCGCTACTTTTCCTGATCGGTGGGACCGCAAAGTTACCATGGACGTCTCTGTGAACATCAGCGATGACCTGGAGTGTGTTCTGCTGTGTCGTGTGCTCCGAATCGTCGTCATCAGACACAGGCAGGGACACGGTGTCGTTTGTAGACGACTTGCTGGCAGTAGAGGGTGTCCAGACCCGCTCACAAGGTTTTGGCGAAGGTCCCGTCGTCGTAACATCATATGCATGTGACGTTGTCTGTTCCGGAAAGTTCAGGACTATTTCAGACTCAGAGGACATCGCAAAACGACGTTTTGGTTGTCATGCAGTCACACAAGCTTATCCCGTAGGTCGATCGTCGAACAGTTGGTCGGCCGGCGAGAGATATATCGTATATACGTCTTTTGAGTTTCAGTGTTTCGGTGCCAAGAAAACAACTGTACCAGAAATACACCGACCATAGTAACGCAAAACGACTTCCATGGAAACGTTGACAAGCAGCATTGTATAAAATGTGTTCTATGGAACGTGTTACGATGCTGGCACTGTTACGAACACGCCATATGTAGTTCTGGAACAACGGTGATACCATAGTCCATAACAATGGACTGCTCTTTGTTTATCAAGTTGTTTGTTTGGTCGGTTGAATTCGTATTTATTGGCTATATACTAGTTCTTGTTTCACATTTTCAGGTCGTGCTATGGACCCTCCAGGTATATGTATAACGTTAGGTCCTCTGTGTTGGACTTTAACGTTAATGTAAGATTCTAAAAAAAGAAAATAACTTTTTTTTTATGCTCACAGGACACACTGCAGATGATGACTGACAAGAACGGCAGATCTCTCATACCCCCAGCTTGGCAGGTAGGAGTATGGTGTCATATTCTTTTTGACAGTCATTTCTACGTTTTGTTGGTGCTAGGGAGTGAAAAGCTGCTTGCAAAATATGTTTGAATGCGTTTTGAACCATCGCACTTCCATCACCAAGCATTTTCATGTCTGTCGTCCTCTCCAGTTTGGTCCGTGGAACCAGCTGTCTGATAATCAAGAGGGAGAAACGATCGTCGCCCGTGCCAGGTAGGGTCAGGGTACACCCTCTGGCCAAGGAGGTTTATTTCTACCCCCCTTGCTCTGATGTTGTACAGGAATGTGTTGATGATTTTCGTGACATTAGCATAACGTCTTCTCAAAACTCTGGCCTTATAATTTAGCAAAATGGAAATGTAGAAAATACGATTATTTTCTAAAGTCAAATATCTTTCTTACTATGGAATTTTATGTCAGAAACCTCGAACCGTTCTAAGTTCTATGTTTCCACTGTTGCCATGCTGATGGTCCACTGTTGCTATGGTGATGTTCCATTGTTTCCATGGTGATGTTCCATTGTTTCCATGGCGATGTTATTACGTCACACAGAGAACTGCTGTTGGACCATGACATCCCGTTCTCACTGTGTATCGAGCCGCTACACTTCTTCCCTGGGGGTGTGGACCCGGACATCGTGCCTAACAGGAAGGTAACTTAGCGTTAAAAAAGACTATGTGGGTGAATTTATATCCTAGTTCAACGATTTCGGTAGCTTGTGTTACTGTTCTGTTTTATTTTCAATTTCTTGTGCATTTCATGGAACATGGCTTATTTCCACATTCTTCTACGTCTCATCAATGTAGAAAGATCATCAAGAACTTGCAGACATCGGTATCAAGGTAAGCAATTTTCTTTTCTTGAAATTTATGGAAGAATTACGCCAGATTCCTTTTCAAATGAACGCTGAAAAAAAAAAACGAAAACGTAAAAAAAACAATCGAGCCAGACAGGATTCGAACCTGCAATCTTCTGATCCGAAGTCAGACGCGTTATCCATTACGCTACTGGCCCTGTTCACACAACCATTCCTTTGTACAAGCAACCCAAAGGTTGCAGGATCGAGATTTTACGGCTCTAAGACTAGTGTAACTTTTTTGTGGCGCTATGAAGGGTCGAAACTTTCTATGAATTCTACTGTTCCCTTCCAGTCCGTGGGTTACTTTAACCCCATGGTGTCGCTAAACTGGAACGGGACATACGAGATGGCGGCCCGGAATGACTACCTGCTGAAGACTCGGACTGGCGAACCGTACAACTACACTTACCTGTAGGTCTAACATCCCTTCCGATAAACACTGTAGCCATGTTTAAATATTTTCTGCTGTGTTCATTCACTACTTGTAGAAATGTACCATCCGAAATTCTCTGTCCAGTCACGGTTTCATGTAAGGGTATAACGTTATGTAGCTTGCTCTGTTTCTTCTTCTTCCGTTGCAAACACTTTATGGTAAAGTCAATGACCTGGACCAGACGGCTGTCACCACGGTAACCGGTGCTGTAGCAGACACCCTGTAGTGTTGGATTACTAGTATATTATGTAGCAAGTGGCTGTACAGAGTTAGAGGGGCTAGTAAATGAATATGTTTTAGTAAAAGTGAACAGAGCGGTACATGTATTTTGTTAGGCTAGACCATGTAAAGATATACATGCATTTGCAAAAATGTCACCCTTCTTGTTGATTTCTCGTTCTCAATCCCCAGAGGTTACGGTGCAGTGTCCCAGCTCGACTTTACCATGTACATGTACTAGTATAGGAATGTGTCTGAGTGAGAATAAACAGAGCAGTAGTTTGTTAGGCTAGACCATGTATAGGTTAAACATGCATTTTCTTTGCAAATGTTAACTGGTTGCGTTTCTGATTAATTTCTTGTCCTCAATCGTTACCATGGTGGTGTTCCATTGTTACTTTTCTCAATCCTCAGAGGTTACGGTGCGGTTTCCCAGCTGGACTTCACCAACCCCGCCGCCGTGACGTGGTACCAGTCCCAGCTGCAGTCCGCCATCGACATGGGGTTCCGCGGCTGGATGCAGGACTACGGGGAGTACACGCCGCCGGACTCCGTCAGCTTTGACGGCACAGACGGTACGTAGCTAGCCCGGAAAGCCTCTACCAGGCTTCGGGAGGCGTCTGGAAAGAGTAGAATAATTGGTCCGCTAGAATGTACAGTTTGCCACACCCGGTACTTCCTAGCGGACCAACTCCCCGGCATGTTATCTCTCTATTAAGCCAATTTCTACTCTTTCCATGTCAGCCGCCTCTCGAAGCCTGGTAGAGGCTTAGCCCGGGTGCCATCCTCCGAAGTTACCACCGGCTTTCGTAAACAAAACAGATGACCTGCTTTCTGACATGTTCGCCACTGGCACTGTCCTTGGTGCTGAAGTTTACGTTTACTCAGTATCCCAAAAAAACGCGCATCCGAAAAAAGCGAGCGAGCGAGAGAGAAAGAGAGAGAGAGAGAGAGGAGAGGGAGAGATTCATTTTACAGATTATTACCTAAATAATGAACAAAAAAATATTTTTCACCTACAGGACTAGAGATGCACAACAAGTTCGTGCTCCTGTACCAGAACACGACCTATGACCTCCTGACCCGGAAGTACCCATCATCAGAACCGGACAAGTACGCGCCGGACTTCGTGTTTTACGTCCGGTAGGTCAAAATCCTACAGGTGTCTTCTGGGGGGGGGGTCTCGTGTTTTTTTACTGATTCCAGCTAAATATTGCAACTTTACTTCGTTAAACTTTACACACACAAAAAAGACGTCTACTGTGCATTGGAAGATGCGTTTAGGAGAAAATAAAACGAAAACATTAAACAGTAACGACTTTGTTTTACCGTTCCAGGTCTGGTTACACCGGCTCTCAGCGGTACACTTGGGCACACTGGACCGGCGATCCCACGTCTGACTGGTGAGAATTTTCCTGAGAGTACAGAGTCTACGAAACCCAAACAACTAAAGCAAGACGCCGGCTATTGCTAATGTTAAAAACTACCATTAACACGAGGACAGATGGTATACAGATAATTTGTCATTCAAGTCAAAGAGATTTGTATAGAATTTCAAATAATAAAGATTCCGTTAGTCACCGACGAAATGTAGTGGATGCTACTTCACACGTCTGGCAGTTTTCAAAATCTATCCAATTGCTACAGTAACAATTTCGTTGTAAATTTTCTAGCAATGTTTATTTTGTTCCTCGCCTCGCAGGTCCTACTCCAGCGGCCTTCCCGCTCAGATCATCGCTAGTCTGACGGCCGGGCTGTCCGGGATGCCTTACTCCGGGTCAGACATAGGTGAGCAAACAGTACCTGCTTTATGTTACAGTTGGGTCATGATAACGTTTGATACGGGTGTTCCAAATGTTCTATAGAATAACACGAACGCGTTTCTGTCATAAACAACTGAGTGACATTAGAATGATAGTTCATTCGTGCTGTTCGAGAACAGCAAACCCACATAACAAAAGCCAGTGGACTAGACCACCCGACAACATCGGGTCTAAAATGGAGTAGTCTGTGCTTGAATTTCATCACAATTTAAAAAGTTGATAAACAAATTGCAATACGAAAAAAACTTGTGCTCAACAAGAAGACAAATACATGTAATTATAAGTTACAGGACAAAGTGTCGAGAAAACTATCTCCAAACTTAAAAAAAAAAAAATCGAGCCAGACAGGATTCGAACCTGCAATCTTCTGATCCGAAGTCAGACGCGTTATCCATTACGCTACTGGCCCGCTTGACACAAGCACCTGTAGTATAACAGGTTTCCAGCGGTACCGACATAGCCAAAACCAAGCTAAGGGGCGTACCCCCGTGAGTAGATTCATTGCGTTGGTAAGTCAATTCTGCAGGTTCCACAACCATATATAAAATATCCCCGTTATATATTTTACTGTGTCAACGATTCCGATGTCTTCCCTAGCTCTATCATCTTCATCAGGGCAAACGTGAACTGAACTTTTTTTTAAAACCTCCTTGGTTTAAGTGTGATGTCATGAATGGTCAAGCCAGGTAATGCGTTCCCCCAAGTCTTTCGAAGCCACGTTCGAGAACGCATCTATTTTGCATTAAAAAACATTTTATCACTTCCAGGAGGCTTTGTGTGGTATCTGACTCCTCCACCGAGCGAAGAGCTGTGGTGCCGCTGGGCCGAGGTTGGCTGTTTCAGCGGGACCATGCACGAACAAGGTAACGACAAACCAATCTCCAAGCAGATCTTTCGGTGGCTGCAACACTAAATCTCTCTTTGCATTTGGAGAGTACTTGCGCTAATTCAAGGCTGCCATTTGGCGCTTACCACAATACAATAATACATTAGCTTCTACCAGGCTTTAGAAGCGGCTAAAAGTGCTGAAAGAGTAGAAATTGGCCACAAGAAACAGACAACATACCAGGGAAGTTGGTCGGCAAACTGTTTAACTGTACCAACTCTTCTGTCTATTTTGGCAAATTTCTACTATAATACATATGTGTTTAGAAAGTTGAGACAATAAAGTAAACGGATGTACGGGTGATGGTATATTATCATTGTCGTTGTTGCCGGCAGGTAGCGGGAAGGGCTTCGGTGAGAAGACTCACATTTTCGACACTCCTGAAGGCACGAGGGTCTGGCGGAAGTACGCCAAGCTCCGCACCCAACTCTTCCCGTACCTGTACAACACAGCACACGAGGCATATCAGGTCAGAAACTGGCGAAAACGGCTTTCCATCTCAAGAGATAGTTGTAGCACTCTGCCAGATGCCTTCTCCGGTGTTATGGCTATGGGCAGCATCTTATGCGTGTCCTGTCAGTCATTTCCTAGCATGGCAGTCCGAAATCCCGGCTCAATCGACATCTCGATGTTTTGTGGTTGTGTCGTTCTTTTCGTTGTCTCAAGCTTAGCATGCTTGCATTACCTGGACTTTAAATCTATGTAATTAAGATTGTGCGACCCAAATGTGTGTTATTTTCAGACCGGTTTGCCCGTCATGCGGCATCACCTTCTCGACTTTCCAAACGACACTCAGGCGATCAGACAGAACTTCCAGGTGGACTTGTTTCTCTCACTTGTTTTCGTTCCCTCAGCTTTTTCTGTGATAATTCGTATCAACACAACAGATTAACCTTCAACTTTTAACGTTTAACTCTTTGTGTCCCGACGTCAGTACATGTTCGGGCCGTCGTTCCTGGTTGCCCCGGTGATAGAACCCGGGCGGACGGACTGGGAGGTGTACCTGCCGGAGGGGGAGACATGGATAGACGTCAGCAGTCAGCTCAAGGTGGGAATCATTCAACACAATAGCGCCTATCGATTAGGCTTCGGGTGTGGCTGGAAAGATTATTTGACCAATTAAGTCCTTCGCGGACCAACTCCCTTGGTATGTATGACTCGTAATGGTAACTGTCATCGTTGCCCTTCAATATAATCTAATAGTATTTGCAATGCAATGCCGAAAGATTAATAGCAGTTTTCTCTTCATTTCCTACCTTAGTATGAAGAACAAAGCGGTCGGTTTATGTTGGGATTCACAAACTATACACAAGGTGGAAGGTGAGTTGGACATTGAATCACACAGGAAACCTTGCGCTCGATACTAGCAGTTTGAAGACACATTGTACATGCATACCAAGCCGTTTACTAGCAAACGATCGTATCCTTTTCATTTTGTTTTTCGTAATTCCGCTTGTCTCTCAATATCAAGCACAGTTTTCGTTTCCTCTAGAGTGGTGACCGTTTCCGCCCCTCTGGACGTCGTTCCCATGTTCGTTCGCGCGGGGACGATGGTTCCCGTTCTCGATCCCAGAGTCATGACCCTAAGTGATGCTACTGACCCGAAGGTCATCACCATGAAGCACCTTCAGGTTAGTCAGAAATATGTAGAAAATATGTTCACAAGGGTTGCACAAATCCAATGTTAGTGGCTGTGCGGTCCACGGCACGAAAACGGGTATTTATGCACGCTTAAACGTAGCGTTAAGGCGACGTTTCTTCCTCCTTTCCGCAACTTGAACCCCTAAACTTGAACGTAAAGATTGCCTTAACGTGGCCTTTCCGCAAGTGCCCATTTTCACTTCTTGACGCGCCTTTCAGATGCTTAAAGACGTCGTTAATTACGTTAATTATAAGCACGCTTAAACATAGCATATAAGGCGGCGTTTCTTCCTCATTTTCGCAACTGTATAATCCCCAAACGTGCACGTAAAGATGTGGCCGAGCAATCGCCGTCTAGTGGAAAGGGTGTCAATATCTATTGCTTCTCCTGTTGTAGTACTTGCTTCATCTGTGGATCTGGCCGACCGAGGACGGCTTCGCTCAGCTCGAGTTCCACGACCGGTCGTGGTGGAGCATGTATCACGTCATCTACGCAAGTACGTACTTCAAAGTTTAACCTTTTTCACTACAGTTAAAAGATACACACATGAGATACGCACACCTGGCGTTGTCAGTTGTTATGTTTACCAAAGGAAAACATATTATTTTGCTCTGTTTCCTCTTCTTCTCCAAACCAATAAGTTCAATGACCTGAAACAGACATCTGTCACCATGGTAACTGGTGTTGGGTTACATCATGTTGCAATTTTATAGCAGGAGGGATTTACACTCCTGAATGTGTTTGGGTACAAATTAACAAAGCAGACCATATGCGCTGGTAAACATTATGCATTTGTATTTGCAAATGTTACCTTTCGTTCTAGTTGTTTGTCGTAGTAATTCGACCCTGTTGTTCTGTTATTCCAGAACACTGGGAGATCGTATTTAACGACATGAACCCGAATAGAACCAACATCCTCCAGGTTTCAGCACCATGGACAGGTAAGTCATCCATTTTTTTTCTATTTTACTAGTATTACGAAACTGCTACCTTTGTAATTGTATATTTCCCTATTGAAAGATACCAAAGGAGCAGTTATTCAAGCAATTGGAGAGGTTTTCAACACGGTCACAGACAAAAGGTACTGGATGCTACCAGAAACATTCGTCTGGCCGTTTCCAAAATCCATCCAGTTGCTTGTGTAACTGTTACTTTGGCAACAAGTCTAGTATTCTTCTTAACGCTAGTGCACAGGAACGGAAGACCTTCGCTGATCCTGTCTAAGCTGGTCATTTATATCATATACATCCATCCATATGATACGCATTTCTGTTAATCATCTTCATTTCTTTATTTCCTAGAAAAAGTTACCAATGTGACGACCCCCACGGGCCATGTGTACCCCCGAGCGGCGTCGTTGGACGGTCTACTGTCCGACGGAGCTCCCGAAGGCTGGATCGTAGACCGGAGCCAACACACACTGTGGGTACGGGCGGTCCCACCAGACAGTAGCGGCGGCATAATTTACATACAGACTTCTGATTCAACTTATGACACTAATTCAAACTAATGTTTATTATCATTATAATTAGAGTTAGATGTTGAAGGGTTAGGTGTAACAAGTCGATCGGTGTAATGTAGCCAGCTGCCGCCGAGCGGCGTGCCTGTGAAGCTGGTGCGTTACGCCGAAGGGCGGTTATACCGGCTGATGGAGTCTTCTCTAGTATAAAAAAGACGCTAGAAATATTTAATTTAAGCTTTTTATTGAACAGTGGCTTAAGTATAGGGAGGGAAACATTGAGACATAATTCCCACTGAGAGTGCCGAGGTTTTAGATATATACATGTATTTGAAATATTATTAGATAAAAATAAATATTATCAAATCACGTTTGATAAAAGTGTCATATTGTGTTCGTACAAACGTTAATGTCTAGAAACTGAAAAAAAAACATACACAAGACCATTAGCGTTGTCTTCGCATCAGGTCATTTGAGTTTGTGTGCCTACAGCCTTCTGAGAATTAAACATCGCACCCGGTTACCCGGAGGCAAGTTTGTAGACCTAGATTTCACGCTGTCTTAGCGACAGACCCGTCGGACGAGGCCGCTCAGACACGCGTCACCAATGAGTTGTAACTAACGACGTTAAACAAAGGCGACAAAACACATAATGAAGCTTTGTTTGACAGTGATTTACAGCTCTACCGAAAGAGTAGTGAATATATCTGTTCCGTTCTTTCAAAGTTTGACAGGAGCAATCTTATAATTAGGATAACCTGAATTTGATTGGAGCACTAAGGTTGCAGTAAGAGTTAAACGGGGTTGTTGTATGTGTGTCAAACAGTACTGATGTGGCGGAAGGCACGTTCAATCTGAACCTTTGGTCGGGTCAAAGTTCGACAAGTCATATTTTTGTCACCTCTGTAAATAATCAAGCCAGCCGCACCTACATGTAGCCTCCACCAGGCCTTTCTACGGGAATACGGATCGTAGAATTGGGCAAAAAAGAGAGTAAAATTGGCCAAGGGAGTCCGGCCGTGGGGAGGTAGTTTCTTTCCCTAGCTGCGCGGCCAGTCAAACCTACAAGGCGGCCAAACTCCCCTGGCAAATATTCTCCTATATATAGCCAGCGTAGTTAGTCTGGTAGAGACTAACCTAACAGAAGGTCGGACGTGACAACTTCGTGCTAGCTTCGAACACAACAACATGGCGGCCATTGCGGAGGAACGCCCCGTTGAGACTGAAAAAAGCAGCAACAAAACGTCGTCGGCACACCACAAGAGCGTGGTCTTAGGCAAGTTCTCGGAGCACTGTTCAGTGCTGACGGCGTGCCTGCAGGCCATGCGGCGGGAGGAGCTTCTCTGCGACGTGATTCTGGTGGTGGAAGGGAAGACCATCCCCGCGCACAGGTGAGAGAAACTTACGGCTGGTCACGATGAAAACTTAAGCCCAATTTACACTTGTTTTTAAACTGTAGTACTACACATCCTAGTGTGTACTTTTCTGGGTTTCAAGAGAAATGAAGCACTTCAGAAGCAGTCTACTACAGAACTGAGTAGTACACTTCAGCGGTTGCTCTACGAGACTGATCTTATTCAATATTTAGGTTTATATAAAGCGCTGACTAGACAGCGAACTATGTAGTTCTTGCTTATAACCTGCATTTCTCCTGCAGTCTCTAAGTGTCACTGACGAAAGGTAGTGGATGCTACCTGAAACATCTGACCGTTTCCAAAATCATATCCAGCAGCATGAGAAACTACTTTTTGACGTATCTTATTACCCGGATGTCTCACCTTCACCGACTATCAATACACCTTGTTACACAGGGTCGTGCTGGCCGCCTGTAGCGACTACTTCCTCACCGTCTTCACGTCAGAAGCCGAGGGCACCGAAGAGCAGCGACAGGACACGACAATCCACGAAGTCGCCGACGTAAACTTCGACGCCGTCCACAAAATCGTAGCGATGATGTACTCTGGCGAAATCGCCATCAGTCCTGAGACTATCGAAGATCTCCTGAACGCTGCCCAGGTCCTACAAGTCGCCAAGGCCACCGATTTCTGCGTGCAGTATCTACAAACACAGGTCAGTGGTAGAAGTACGTTTTTTTGCAGTGATCTGCAATATTGCAGAAATTAATGTCAAAATTTTGTTCTGCAATTCGGAAATGCTTTCTGCAAATTCACACTTAAAGGTCTGGATCTAAACCCATGGTACATACCAAATTGTATGTTGGCAAATATTTTACATGCAATTTGAAAAATAGTTCGTAGAAAGCACTAAAGCTAGTATTAAACACCATCAAACCCCTAGCCTTATTTTTTCCAGTCTGCAAAATTGCAGGTTGCTTGATTTTTTCTTCTGCAATGTTGAAAATGTCTCTGCAAAATGCAGACTGCAGATGGGTATTTCTAACACTACAGGTGGACAAAGAGACGTGTCTTCAGTTTCTCAGCATCGCGGACAAGTTTGAGCTCCCCGACCTCGACCGGAGGTACATGCTCCAGCACGTGCACGAGAACTTCTCCGACGTCTCCAAGACCGAAGACTTCATCAACCTGGACAGTAAGACCGTGCAAGAGATCTTGAGCAGCGACAGGCTAGTAGACTGGTTTATTATTAAAATCAAAGACAAGTCACATGGCAGCCAACAGGCTGAATTGACAGACTCGTGTACAAATTGGCAGATCAATATGAATTCGCTTAAAATATCTAAAATCGTTAAAATGACAAAACAGATAAAAGCAATATTTAGTATGAGGAACATTACTGGGTGTCGCCCCCAGAAGCACCGAACTACAAAAAGTCAATCCGCGTGTGCATAAAACTCTGGCATAGACATGTAAAGTTATATTATATATATGATAGAAAGAACAGTATCAGGGTCCTTTTGACAAGTAAAATCATTAACTGTACAATCGTTAACTGTACAATACAGGCTGGTGGTATCGACGGAGAAGGAAGTTTTTGAAGCGGGAAGGAGGTGGCTAGCGCACGACGAGGAGAGATACGAGCACGCAGAGGCCGTCCTAGGTAGGGTGCGTTTCTCGTTCATGTCGCAAGAGGACCTCCTGCAAGCTGTGTGCGAGAACGTGCTAACAGGTGGGTTTGTTGTATCCAGAACCGTGCTTTATCCAAAACCATGTTCAGATAGGGTTCTGGATGGTCTACGCGTGTCCAGAACCGTGTTTATCCAGAACAATGCTCAGGCATGGTACTATTATTTTCCAGACGTCAAAGTGGAAATGGCACCTGCGTTGACACTTGCCAAAAGGCAACACCAAATTTGTCTTTGGGGTGTACTAGTGTACAGTCAAATACGCTTGTCTAAACAACCTGACAACGTGTGGCATTCTAAATCTTCTGCAACAGAGGGGTGTTGCACAGTAACTTTAAAGATCAAGATCAACTACCGCTATCATTTCAAAGTTGGAAACTTGCATGTCACCATATTTGGAGTCCCATAAAAATCCATTAAAAATGCCATGACCATTTCATCTTTGTGACCTTCCAATGAGAGCGTCGATAGTTATCATTATGGACATATTTGCCATAAAAAAATTGTGAAAGATGAAAAATCCCAGTGTCTTGCTGAATCTTTTAAACATGTATTAAAGCTCAATGTCGCCTCCCCACAGCTAACCCAGGAGTCATGGCGGTCGTACAGGACGTGGTGGAAAGTCGTCTGCACCATGGCAACGGTCAGTCGCAGAGCCGCCTAGCGGAGACCCCGCGAGGTGCACCCGTGAGGAAGCTGGTCATCCTGGGAGAAGGACATGAAGACATCCCCAGGGTCTATCAGACGTGCAGGTGGCGAGTCATTCTTTCTAGTGAATTCTTTTTGAAGGCGGTTTTGTTTCCATCTATGGTGTTTTTTCATGCATCGTTTTTGTTTTTAAGTCCAAGTCAGTTAGGGAGGAATTGATGATCTTAAAAACAAACCAAGTGCCCTACTTTTTCGGCCTCAGTAGCCAAATCCCTTGGAGAAAACGATGTCGACGCTATACGTCAACGAAGGTTAGACATCCAGGTAATGAGATACACAGGAAACAGTTACTCATTCAAGAAACTGGATAGATTTTAAATACTGTACAGACGTTTCAGGTAGCATTGGTCACTGGTGAAAAGTAGAAAAAGCGTCTTGAAATGTCTGATAATTACTAGTATTCTAAAATCTGTCCAATATCGTCGCTTAAAGCTTTCTATTTGGAAAAAAGATGGGATCGTTCTAGTATAATGCTGGTACAATCCTTCATCTAATCACCTGTGTGTGTGACCTCTTCACTTGTTCAGATATTACGAGCAGAAGTGGGATGAGTGGGTGGACCTGTCCTCCATGCCTCCCGGGAAGGTCAGCAGACACGCGGTTGCCATGGTGAGCCACGCCCTGTACGTCATCACCGACCTGAAGGACAGACACGAGCTGCATCGGTACGACCTTGGGGTCAAAGGTAAACCAGACGTCTATCACCATGGTAACTAGTGCTAGGTTCCATCATGTTGCAATTTTATAGCAGGAGCGATTTAGACTCCTGTCACCATATATATGCCTAACCATAAGCAAACGTTTCGCCCTTGAATAACTATGTTTACCAAAGAGTTCAAAATATTGCTTTTGCTCTGTTACTTCTTCCGTTTCAAACACTGACCTGGTCAATGACCTGAACCAGCCGTCTATTACCATGGTAACTAGTGTTGGGTTAAGGTAAAATTAGGAGTCTAACTCAGGACTTTATTTATCATAAACAAACGTTTCGCCCTTGATTATGTTTACCATCGCAGAAGGAAAACATATAATAGTTTTTGCTCTGTTTCTTCTTCTCCAAAAAAATAAGTTCAATGACCTGAACCAGACGTCTGTTACCATGGTAACTAGTGTTGGGTGACACCATGTTGCAATTTCATAATAGGAAGGATTTAGACTCCTGTCACCATATATGTGAATGTGTTTGAGTAAGAATTAACAGATCAGACCATGTGCGAAGGTACACATAATGCATTTGCTTTGCAAATGTTACCTTTTTTAGTTTGCATTTCTTTATTTCTGATCTAATAAAAAAAAGGTTGGCGGCAGCTGGCCGGGCCTGAGCACAGGAGGACCGGGTACGCGCTGAGTGTCTGGCGGGAGCACCTGTTCCTTATCGCCGGGAAGTGCCCGGGGGCGGCGGCGGTACCGGTGGAAGAGTACGTGCCCAAGGACAACGAATGGAAATCAATTTCAGGTCCGCAGTGCTTTAAAATAGCCAAATAGAGAGATAACATGCCAGGGGAATTGGTCCCCTAGAGAATACTAGAGAAACTCCCCTGGCATGTTATCTCTCTATTTGACAGCCTGGGTGCCATGGCCAGACCCACATCACCGATAGATTCAAAGTTATCCAGTGTGCAGGGGATACCTTTGAGTCTAGTGTGCTGTGGGTCTGGCACCCAGACTATTTATTTGGTCTATTTCTACTCTTTCCAGCCGCCTCCCGAAGCCCAGTAGAGGCTACCTATTGCTACGGTTCGTAACCCTAATTCAGGGTTTCGCTAACCCTAATTTAGGGTTTCACTAACCGTAATTTAGGGTTTAGAAAACCCTAATTTAGGGTTTCGAATGTCTAATTTAGTGTTATCGAAACGATAGATCTAGGATAGATCAAGCAAAAACGATTTGACTAGCCTCCACAGAAGGCCAAAACTGGGGGGTTTGGGGGTCTTCAGGGTCTTTGGGAGCTCTTTTTATAATACATATAGACAACATAGCCGGCCTGATTGAATTACCCCCGTTTTAGAACTGGGCTAATCAGAAAACAGCCGAAAGACCGCCAAACCCCCAGTTCTATAACCCTGCTACGGAGGCTAGAGTTGACAGCATCTATCAATCTGACAGGTTTCCCGTCAGAAGTGTTTGACCACGCGGCCACGGCGGGACCGGACGACCAGCTCTACGTGACGGGCGGGGCGGTGGCCCAACCCGCGGGCATTTTCGACAGCGGCCCGGCCAAGCCCGCCAGCAAGCGGTGGGTCTACTGCTGCCCCGGCCCGGGACAACCCTGGGAACGAGAGGCCAACATGAACGCACCCCGGGCACGACACGTCATGCAAGTGAGTTGTCGGAAATACTGTAACACTAATCAGTGAATTTGTAATTTGAAGTCAAAATATCGGTTCGAGTTCGACCAAGGACAAACGCACACTGTGACAGAAATGAGGTTATATAAGGGAAAATGTTGATCAAAAGGACGATATTTTCAGTGACATTTTAAGATATAAACTTTCCTAAAAGCTGCCCTAGAAATCTACAGAATGACATTAGTGTTACATGTACCTGTAAAAACGTCCACTGTACCTGCATCGTTGCGAATCATTCCAAGCTGTTAGTGGTTGCTATAAAGAGAACGCTTCTGTTCTATTCCAAAGTTGCGTCATAGATGATTGTTCGTCACTCTAGAACACAGGCTACCGACGCTCGACTCTAAATATTTCTTCATGATCAGTTTCTACATTTTGATAGACAGTTACTAGAATCTTGCTCTTAAATTTGGCGTAAAACGCATTTTCCAAACTTCCATGTGTTAGGGGACGGCATGTACGTTTTTGGCGGTCACGCTTCCAATCACACAGGCTACCGACGCTCACCTTTCAACCTTTCTTCAGTTTCTACAGATTTACTGGAATCTTGTTCTTTAATTTGGTGTAAAACTTACTTTCCAAACTTCTAACGTTAGGTGTTAGGAGACGGTATGTACGTGTTTGGCGGTCACGCCTCCAAGGGCACGGGCGACGTGGAACGCTTCGACCTGACGTCACGGCAATGGAGCGTGGTCACCAAGCAACGTGTTCTGGCGGGAATGTCTCCGCACGGGGCCGTGACGATGGACTACCGGATCTACGTCGCGCTGAAGGGGGAGGGGGACAGTAGAGGGGTGGTGTACGAGTATGACCCTGAGACAGAGAGGTGGGACACGCACTGCAGGCTGCCGTGGGACGTTAGAGGGTTCGGACTGTGCTCGGTGGACGTGCCGCAGTGGCTGCTCAAGAGGAAGGGCACCATCACGTAGCACTTTAATACTGCAGCTCATGTATATAACGTTGATAACTTTTTCGTAGAGAACTTATAGTATAAAGTATATGTGCAAGAGCCTAAAATGACGAGGTTTTGATGCCTGTCTAGTCTCTACCACTAGTACCAGGCTTCAGAACTGAAGCGACTGGAAAAGGAGTAGAAATTGGTCAAATCACGTAGCAATACTGTAGCTTATGGTATATTATTACGTGTACTAGTAGTTGAAAAGTTAGTCCTCCTGGCAAGGTAGAGTATTACGTACGGGAGCCAAAAGTGACAAAGTTTCAAAAGCGACAAATTTAATGTCAATGCCTTTTCATAGCAGTGAAATGTATATAGGTTCGTAGTAAAATGCATGTACGCTAGTAGAAAGACTAGTCCTGATAAGGCGAGGTATTATGTGCGAAGGCTGAAAACGATCATAATATTTCCACACTTGCGACAAAGCCTCTCTAAAGCAGTGAAATGTACATACACGTAGCGCAACAGTAAAGGAAACACCATTTCTGTTTGTGATCTATAGTAGTTACTTTGAGTTTTGTTAAAGCAATGCCTATTTACACTGCACTAAAAATCCATTCTGACAATGCCATTGATGAAGCAACATGAAACCTAAGAAGCTATTTTGATTCAGTATGTAACAAAGTGTAAATCGGCATATATGTTTAATGTACATGTTTTATTAGATTAATTTCAACTATGTACAAGAAATACAGTAGGAGATTCCAATTTCCAGTTGAAAGGTAGTATTCTTACTGTTGTAATTGTTTAGCCACAACTTGCAAAGGAAGCAAAATGTTGGCTTTTGCTCTCGCATTAACTTTGTGTCCAAGAAAGTAGTTCATAAAATTTAATTGTTGCCTTAGAAACATAAAAATTAAGCATAGCACAGAAAAATAACGCCAACCTGATATGTGACTTGATACTGACCATAAAACTCCAGTACTAAGTATTACTACTTGTGTTACATACTTGACTGTATAGATCAACTAGCAAGTCCTTGTAGACATTTTGAAGTGACTTTTTGGGATCATTCAAGTACTTGTATCATCTTGATTAATTTTTTATAACAAAAATCTACAATTCCTGACTTGTACAGTGAAATGTTCCTCTTTGTGATACACTTCTGGCAAATTCAAATACCCATTACAGCATACTAGTATAAAACTACAGTCTATTTCTCTCACACTTGCTTTACTGACACTTTGTACATGTCTGGAACAAATTACTAATGCCTCTGTGATAGAGTAAAGAAAGTTCACAGAATCATGTCACTGCATCATATGTTTGTTATAATTTATAGTCACAAAAACAACCCCTAAAACAACCTACACTCCAGTGTTTTCATATCTTAATTTACGTGTGTATTCAACATGACCAGTTTAGTGGATTCATATAAAGACAGCAGGCCTTTGTACTACATCTATGAATGTGTATGATGGTATCTCATCTGTGGACATGTTACTTTGCACTTTGACCATTCATTTGTAAATCACATTCACCTGTGAATATATATGTAGCATAGGAGATAGAAGAGCCTAGTCATACCCTTACTTACACAATGTGTCGCATGGTGGCACTTGCTTGTACTACCAACATAGCCAGCAGAATTTGTTAAATTACTAATTTGCATACTTATGAGCCCTGTTTCATTTATTTTCACGTAACTTTACAACAGTCAACACTTGGTCAAAATACCTGAAATGTGGCCAAAGAACGACAACAAATAACACTGTTTGCCTTTTTTTTTTTACAATGTGTAGTGAGCCAGTGCCATTTTCCATGTAGCCTCGAAAAATGAATTTCACAATAGACTCAAATAGATTTTCTACATTTATACCACTGGTATTTGGGTACTAATCAAATGCAATCGTACGTAGGTCCAGACCTTAAGAAAGGGGAGGGGGTTATTGCTAAATGCATATACACCTACTAGTTGAGAGGTCATTAAATTAATTATAAGGGTTAAATGTATCTTCTAAAATAAATGTCACAAACATAAATGAAGGACAACAACTTGAGACAATACTGATCACTTTGAGCTGAAGTTTGCTGACATGCAGGAAAAAATAAGAAGCAATGAGCTTCATAAAAAGTAGTGAAAAATAAATGTAGCATAGGAATGGCACTTAAAATTGGCAGGAACTGCATAATAGGCCTCAAATAAACCCAACTCATAACCCCCTAACTTCTTGACTTGCCTTTACTGTGCATGTACAACTTAAGTTCACTACATACGTTATATAAGAACTGCAGAAATCAGAATGACCAGTATCTGAAGAAGTACTGGAAAATAAATGTAGCATAGGAATGGCACTTAAAATTGGTAAGAGCAATATACATGTAAGATGTCTCACCCCACTCCTAACCCCCTAATGCTGAGGTCACATTTCCAACCCGGGGCCTGGCCGGGCTGTTTCGATGAACGAAAAATCAACAATTTATATCAAATAGTTTCCAATATTAATTTTTTCAGCTCTTTTGTGCTTTGTTGGCTTCTATATCATACTTTTTGTTCCATAGGACTGCCTGGCCGGGCCCCGGTTTGGAAATGTGACCTCAGCATAACTTCTTGACCTGCCTTTACTGTGCATGTACAACTTTAGTTCACTACATTTGTTCAATAAGAATCGCAAAAATCAGAATAACCAGAATCTGAAGAAGACGACACAGATGGTGACTATGATGGCTCCAGCCGCGACCTTAGCGTACGTTGACCTCAGGTTCAGCATCTTGGCGTCTTTTCTGTACTTCTGTGACAGACCCGCGAGGTTACTGGCTTTGTCGTCTAGAACTGGAGTTAGAGGATAGAGATATTATGAAGCAGGCAATAGAAGAGCATAATCAATAACAAAAAAAAAATACTTGAACCTTTGGAAAAATAGCGCAAAGAAGTTGTGATTTTGCAAGTCATCAAGTTCATTACTAACTACACATGACATTTCAAGATTCTTGATCTTTTTATGTTGAATTCACTTCCACTGTAAGTTACAGCCAAGACAAAGAAAAACAGCCCCTCCCTTCATTCTAGATTCTACTTTTGTTCACTCATATAAAACAATAAATGCTGAGCTATATCTTCATACATTCACTTCAACTATCTTGTCAGCTTGCACTTGCCTTTTTGCTTTGTTTTGCATAATTGGTAAACCACCTTTAGGTGTAACACACTAGTTATGAACAGTAAGTACAACTACAAACTGTGTACCTGTAAGACGAGACTGTAAGGTTTTTCCAAAACTAGTTTCATCAGGTCGGCAGAGCATAGGATATAGGGATTTTCTTTTACGCAACCAGTATTGTCTCTTAGTCTTACCTTGCTTACATTTTGGTAAGAGACAAAACAGTGTATTACCGATGGTGTAAAAGAAAATCTTTATATCCTGTCAGGTTTTTCATCACTCCTTACCTGACATAATTGGTAAACCACCTTTAGGTGTAACACACCAGTTTTCTACAGTAAAAGTTCAAACTGTGTTAGACCAGACTTTTTCATCACTGCTTACCAGACAAGGCTTCTCCTCTTTGAAGGACGTCATCGATGTTCTGGACCATGATCCTTTGCACATCCTGCAGCTCTGTGTTGAGATGTGTGAGGTTCCGCCTCGCTCTGGAGTCCATGTATGACTTCTTCGCTTTCTGGATGTACGTGTCTGAAATAGAGAGATTTGATCTATTGAAGTTGTAACAACAGAATATACGTGGGACACAGGCAGCTAGTTCTGAGTCGAGCACTCTGCCCTTACGCCACACGTCCCCACCATGTGAGTGAGTTATGTTAGAGATTTGAAGACAACATGTTGTTAAGACTATCACAAGTCACTTTTACATTTTTACCCCAGGGCCAAACAAGAAGCATTTGAATGACCTATGCAGAGTTCTCCAATTGAATTAAATCAATTGTAAGAAAAAAATCTGGGCTCTGATCAGTCTTCCTCTTCACTGTTTCTACAAAATGCATACCTCACAACAGTACATATCGAATTTTATCAATGAGTTACTGAAGTGAAATGTACATGTATGTTAAGATAAGGCCTGGTCAGGTCCTATAGCTCCCTCATACATACGTCAATGACCCAATGTTATACTCATTTAGTGCTTTACTGAATGGTTATAAGACCTAACCAGGCCCTACCGGGTATTACACCATATTCACTCTGATGAGTCATCTACCATTTAGGCTCTGAGTCACAAGTTTTGCATGATGTATCTGGTCACTGAAGGAACTAGCCTGGTTAGTAGTGGTTACCAAACCTATTTTAGCTGCAGAGTCTCTTTTGTTCTCTATTTGCAGAGAAGACAAAAGAGACTTGTCAGCTAAAATAGGTTTGGTAACCAGGCTATGAAGTAACCATTGAATTTCAACAGTTAATAACACCTACCAAATTCTATCATGGAGTACGGTCTGGACACCGTTGCTACTCTCTTGCCATACTGTATCTGGTGAATCATATACCCTTTTTTGAAACACTCTGACTCATGAGTCACAAGTCTAGCAAAACGGATCTGGTCACTGAAGCATACAATGAATTGTATTTGTTTAACACCTACCAAATTCTATCATGGAGTACGGTCTGGATACCGTTGCGACTCTCTTGCCGTACTGTATCTGGAACTCCCCCTGCAGATCCTCCAGGTATGAGAATGCCAGCCGCTTGGAGTAACTCTTGTCACACAGGACCAGGTAGCACACACCTCGCTCTATCAGGTAGCTGGGCAGGAAAGAACAAGGAGGGAGTCAGAAATATCCATATATACAATCTGAATTTTGCAGAGACATTTTCAATACTGCAGAAGAAAACTTAAACAACCTGCAATTTTGCAGACTGAAACATATCACACTAGGGCTTCAATGGTGTCAGCCTTTCTTGATATGGCTGCAGTTTTGGAGTGTATTTGCGGAGAGTATATACATATCCAACTTGCAGAACAAAATGTTGACATTTTGCAACATTGCAGCACACTGAAAAAAAGGAGTTCTACCATCAGAATGTTTTGATCTGATCACAAGTATTACTAACACCACAAGTAGTGTGTCAAGCTACCACTACCTTCGTTTGTATTAACTTGTTCTCTAGACTATAGCTAGTTATACCTACTGAAAGATCATAGGTCCTGACTCGATACTACATCTGGGTGGAGATTGTTCATTCAGCTTCCTGAACAGCATCTTGCCCTGGTTTTGATACTCCATGTAGTTACGACCCATCTGTAGGAGAAAAAAAATAGTGATTAGTTTTGTTGAAGTGTATGTGTGAATACCAAAGTGGGTGAGTATTTTCACAGTGCATAAACTGGTAATTCTTGTGACCTATGTGCACATAAACGTACATGAGATGGACTTTTCTATATCTAAGCTTAGAGTGACACTCTAAGTGCAGTGTAATCTATAGTCTGGAATCTTTTCCAGCAGCATGCATGTGCACTTAGCCTATGTAACCCAAGCTCCGGGGGGCTCCCTACATAGTCCGCCACCCTTTTGCCGGCTGGATGTTGGGCGGCCGGCAAAAGCAATTTAATCAGGCTACATGTGCACTGTGATGAGAGCAATCAAAACTGAACCTTGATGGGTGTAAAGAAGGGTTACTATAGCCTGGGTACCATCCTCTTTCAGCTTTACGTTCACTCTCCTTCTTCACTTGCTTGCTCACAATCAAGTGTAAAGCTGAACTAGGATGGTACCAAGGCCATGCTTGCTAGTCACTGGTTTGTCACAACTTTGTGCATGCTACTCCTGAAAGTGAAATTGGAAGAGAATTATACTGCACCTTATCCCCCTTCCAAGGTGAATAGCAAACAGGGCATGAGAAAAATTCATTTTCAGTTTTAGTGACGTATGGATAAGTTGAAAGACATACTTAGCATGGAGGAGGTTAAGTTAATAAGGCTAGGACTAGTAGGAGGCGGGGAACTAACAGATACATGCACACAAGTACAAAACATGTATATATATTATTTGTGGCTTGGAACAATTCCCATTCTGGAATAGGCAGCTGTTTCGAAGTCTTTGCCAAAATCCAGAGTCTTACGAATCAATCACCTTGGGTCCACACATACATTGTAGGTCATCAAACACCAACCACATGATTTTGGCTACTAAAATGAATTTACTTCATACTAGTAAATACCAGTATATAATTTGCAATTTATTAATTTTATCATCCTTAGTAAATATAGTCATAATTTTTATACTCTAGTTTCTAGACCATACTAGTAAAAATCTACATGCTTAGTCATACAAAACGGACTGCAACGTGTCCAAAGCCAGGTGGTGCGACCAGAGGGATAGATCTACAGTTTGGCAACCATCCGAAAATCGATGATTTTTTTACACACACAGAAAGGGAGTGGGAGGGGGGCGGGTCATGTTCTGTAGGTCCTACCTGTTCGTCCTCCTGCATAGAGGCGGAGAGCGGCAGCCCGTCCGCTACCCGAGCTATCATCGTCATCAGCACCATTTTCCCGACCTTCTGCCGTCGTCTGTACCTTTCCCAAACCCTCGAGTCGTTTTATACACGTCAGGAACTCGAAAAAAACTCCAACTTTGCCGGGGTGACGTGGCTGGCGCTCGTTTCCCACCAGAGGTTAGAGGTCAGTCGCTCTCTCTCGGGAATTCTCGGTAATTTCCGGTATCACGCGGAAGTAGTGTTAAATCTGCTTTCTCGGTAGATTTACATGATTCTGCTCCACGATTTAGTGAGGAAAGTTTCAGATTTCGGTATTTTGTGTACTTCTAGGTTTGAAAGTCTGTAGAATTTGCGAAAATTTCGAAAATTCCTTGTCTCGTCTGTGCGCATGCGTGCTTGACACGTCGCACTAGTTCCGGAAAACATGGCGGCCGGTTGTCCGAAAGCGTGAGCGTTTCTACACTTTCTACCCAAAAAACGACCTTCCTGAGACTTCAAACGAACTGATTTTAACGAGAGACGAGAGCTAGACTGTTGCACAAGGACAGGAAGCCATTTTGAACTGGTTACTTGACCGAGAAGTCGGTTAAAACAGCGACTATAACGAACATTTTTACTCCGAATAGTCTTATCTGTGATCCGTATGGTGAGACTACGACTACCAAGAACTGGCTAGGAAGGTCCATCCACGTCTTCTGGTAGGGTAATTCTGGTAAGTACGGATCTTAAACATGCCATACTCTACCCTATAACATTGCATAAGATTGCAGACGTGTACTTTGTTTAGGTTTACTCGCACTCTAACTAAACGACGTCATTTTCAGGCACCTGTGAAACGAGGTACAACAAGAACCAACGTAGACAGGTGGATAAAATTTTCTTCCACCGGTTTCTGACATGTGATTTACTGTGCTTGGGTAAATAAGCCAAATGTATACCACTAGACAAAGATCCTGTAGTAGATTAGCACTGATTTTGAACATAATAACATTCATGAAGCATTTGTGGCTGATGTACTGATTTTATGGCATCAGTAAGTCATGATAGAAGGGGTGGGAGGGGAGGGTGGAATCTGCTAGAAGCATATAGAACGATTAATTATTTAAGTTGTTCAGTCTGTACTATTGTCTAACATCGGAACAACAATGGCATTTCAGTGAGTATAAAAGTTTATGATAGAACAGTACAATGTAAATGTGTACTTGAAATTTGTTAGACTACCATGGGAGTGGCACCTCCCACAATAGTGTCAAATATATGCTGTCAAGTGACTGTGTTATTGTTTAAAACATAATTGGACCAAAGCTAATAGAGTTGTAGTAAGTGTGTAAGTTGATGATGCCAGTACAGTCTAAATAGTAAATGCCAACTTCTGTGCACAACCACAGATTGGAATTCACTGCCTTGCTCAGAAGTAGAAGCTACCACAGTTGCACTATTAAGGCAAAGAAGTTGGCATTACAGTAATTTACAGTTGTCTAAATAAACAATAAATTCCCAACAAGGATGAGTACTTGTACCATATGGAACCAACAATTGTAACAATCGCCTCTCTCTTCCAAGTTCAAGGAATATGGGGATGATCAGTGTTTTGCCCATTCTGCATAGGCCATTTGATGTATTGGCATTGATGTTGTTGTCATCTGGCCACAGAAGTCATCCTCAATGACTCCTCTCTGACCTTGACCTTCAACCCTGGACAGAGTTCTGTTGCAAAGGTCATTCTTCACAGCCATCTGTACTTTGACCTTGTAATATCAGAGCCCCCCACCCAAGTGTGAAATGGTATGACCTCACTAGGTACACAATGGAGGTATAGAAAGTTGTGGCTGCGTACTTTCACACCAGGCAACTGCTGAAGACATAGACTGATAGAGCAATAACTTTGCACACAGTACCGTAGTAAATCCATACTTGCCAACACTACTATAATAGTACTATTGATTGTTGCCAAGCATGAATATACAGGCAGCTAGTCTGGCAAAAACAGTTCACTTTGGAGAGAGACAGGACTCCATATCATTTGGATGTACAAATGTAGCTCACAATTAATATTCAAAGCCTTCAAAATATTACAGTTGTAACTTGTAAGTTATACTACAATGTATATGCCTTTTCCTTACAGAAATATCATTTGATACAATATGCCACCCTGCTCTCGATGGTGGACATGGAGTGGCGCCCCTGCCCATTGAGGAGCTACAGACCAAAATATACATACAAAACTTGCGACCACCCCCATCCAATACCCCCACCCCCACCGTGCTGGAGCCCTCAAACGATTGAGGTTAGCGGGAAAAGGGAAGAAGAAGAAAACACTTCATGTTGTTATTGTTGTTGGGAGTTCATGTCAAAGTCATGATGTGTCAGGGGGCCCTGGCACATATTTTAAATCTATCACCATGGTAACCATGATATTGATTGACAGGCTGTTGTTGACCCAGCTGTGACAGGTCCATTGATGGACACAAGGTTATGTAGTACAGTCATGCTCAATGTCAGTCTGATGTCAATGTTAGGTAATCAAGTGGACAACATCAACTTTTGTCTTGTTTGGTTGAAATCAGTTTAGAATCACATGAAAAGGATTGCTAGGGAACATCTAGCATTAGACAGCAAGCTCAATTTATGGCAAATCTGTGCCTTTGAGTTTGAGGTGATGCAAATGTATTTAGTTCAAGCAAGGGCATTCTATACCTTGGTTCAAGTTAGTTGTACTTGTTCTATAATCACAGTTACCCAATACATGTGCATGTACTGTACATGGCCCAGTTGAAGCCAAGGAAAGCATGTTGGGAAGGATTCAGTAAAAGAGTGAAAACGGAAATAAATAATATGTCCTTGGACTGGGGAATGAGGATAAGAATCATTTCAAAGAGACTGATAGAAAATCCATTTACTTGACACAAAATTGAGAAATTGAGCCCTGTCTGTCTGTCCCTGGTAACATTAGGAAAGGAGACCACTTGTGATGGCGAGGTTGTTTGCATAGTGTCCAGGATGTTATGCTTAACATGATTGGTCTGTTGCTAGTGTCCAGGATGTTATACCTAATGTGATTGGTCTGTGCTATTACTAGGTAGGGATTCCATACACACCAGGCATGACAAGACAGAGATTAAAAGATTCCAAACATCTGGTTAGAAATAATGAAAAAATGAACACAAATGTCCTTCATTTACAGAAACAGATGGACTTGGTTGAGGAAAAAGGGGCAACTGTTAACGTTAATACTAACAGATCACTCTGTCGATAGGCAATTGATCTTTGTTACGTAACACATTTGTATTGCTTTACCTTGTACATGTAGTAAGATATATTGGAGAACATGCATTGGTAATTCCTATACTGGTAATGGACACTAATACCCTGTAACTTGACAATATGTTGTATAGGAAAATGCATTTGCAGAAGGGATTTTCCCCAGTATTTTTCTATCTTGCTTATTCAAATTTTAACAAGATTTGCTATATACTGGTATGATACATATTGTGAATGTGTGATGTGCTCACATGCCTGTTTTGTGTATTATGCTGAATACATAGTTACATGTCATACTATGAAGCAGCAATGTAATGGAACTACTATGTTATCTGTTAGCCTGGGTGCCATCCAATTTGTAATGGCAACCCTGTATTTGTAACGGCAACACACACAAATCGGATGGCACCCAGTCTAATTATCTGTCAGTCTTCATTAATTATGATGACACAAAGTTCTTAGTCTTTTTGCTTCTTGTTTCCACAGTCTGTACCCAAGGTTGTGACCCCTGAACAACATGGCGGACCAGCCTGCTGACGACAGGTAATAACTGGGAAGTACTGGTGGTTTAACTTTAACTACTCTTTTTCGGTCTGTCCAGTAGTGTTGTTTTGGGATGCTCAATTGTGTATCCTCGAGTCAGACAAAACAACCTGCACCACAATATTTTGACTTGTATCATCCTGGTGAAGTGTGATCATGCATGTGTGATGTTTATGTGTACAAATCGATGGGGTGAAATTAAAAAGTCCCAAAATACAAACGGCAAACATCATTTTTGTTACAAAGAATTAGCAGGATTTTTTTCCATGGAGTCATGTGATTACATACATGTAGTAGACAACAGGTGGTAGGGAGGTGATTGGACATGTGGTCAGCACATGTACATGTACAGGTGTCACAAAGAAAGGAATGAGGTCATACATCATGTATGAACATGTAGCTGATCATCAGTGGCTAACCATTCATACATTTAGAGCAAGGTGGTGAAATATCAGCAGGAAAGATGTTTCTATTGGGATATGGATGGTAATGACAGAGGAATCCTCCACACATTTTATGCTGTGATATATGAGTATTTGCTTTCACTGATGTTCATGCTAAGAGCAGAAAAAAGGTAGGAACTTTGCTCGACTGCTATGCTTCTGCTTGGTTCAAAGTTTGAAAGAATGCTATGTTAAAATTTAGGGCTTTCAACTAAAACATGGAAAATGACTTTCCATATTCAAAATGTTTGAATCTGTATGGACTGAACATTGTAGTTGAAAATTTGAAATATTTATGTTAACAAAAAGACTACCTTGCATCAGCGTATATGATGTTGCTTTCCTGACATTTTCACAGTGTCTAACATCCTGTTCCTTGTTGTTTTGTACACAGTGGACAGTTCCACGGTGGTTATACGCAGCAGGGTTGGCCTCCAAACGACGCGGCGCAAAAACCTGCCTTCTACAACCCACAGCAGATGCCAGCCACTTCTGGTGGGGCTCCCATGTTCTTCAACCCTGCCAGTTTCGACACTGGCGCAGCCCCGCCGTTTTTAGCCCAGCAGGGACCTGCCCACCCCCCTCAGCAGCAGTGGGATAACCCGACCTACCCCCCACAGCAGCAGCAACCAACCTGGAACTCTCACGAGGTGCAGAACGGCCCACCTCACCAGGGGGGGTACCAGGGTGGTGGGAACGTGCAGCAAAACGAGTACCCCCAGCAGCAGCCCTACCCCGGATGGCAAGACCAGGACCTGTATGCACCCCCTGTATCTGACCCCCTGACTGATAGTAGGGCTTCATCGTCCTTCTATGAGTCTTCTGGCCAGAGTTCCACCCTGGGTCTCGGTTTCAGCTACTCCAGCGAGAATCCGTCCCTGAATTCCAGCGAGAGAACGTCGCCCATGCTAGCCGGCGGCGACTACGGTCAGGGCCACGGTTTTCCGTATGATGGAACCGGAATGGACATTCCGAGAGACGGAATGCAGCAGCAACCGCCAGCGGAAGGAGCGGCGATGTTCAGACAACCCGAGGGAAACTCTCTTCCGAATGATTCAGGGCCTGGTGGACAGTACTTCTCTGGCCCAGGAAACACAAATACAACAGCGAGTGTGCCACAAGTCAGCATGTTTAACCCACAGTTTGGCCTCCCTGAGGAGTCACGAAGTGCTGCTAGCTTGGGGCAGGAGGAGGGGGAGGGTTCGCTGACACGAGAACTAACAGGCCAAGAACAGGAAGAAAATGTCCAGCAGTTTCTTCCACCACAACCACAGAACACCCAGCTGCCACCGGCACCAAACTTGGAGGGCTCCCAAACCGGTCCAGAGATGACCAGCTGGGATTTCGGAGGAGGAGCGCCACACCAGGAAATGAGGAGAGAACTAACAGGACAAGAGGACGGGCTAGATTCACAGCTACCGCAGGATCCTGCCCAGTTCGCTTCCCAACCGTCCGAGCCACCACCACAGGCACCTCCAATGTTAAGTGTAGAGGAACCGACATCGGGAATTCCAACCCCGAGTCCAGGCCACTCTCGTAGCAGCTCTCAGCAGTTTGACACCATCAGCCTGGGGAGTGGGAAAGAAGGGAACCCCTCTCGTAGTGGCAGCAGGGCTAGTTCTCTCATCGTAGAGGGTCAGGCCCAGCCTGGTGTGACTCCAGCTGCTTCAAACAGTGGAACAAGAGAAGAGTTTGATGTTGGCACGAGACCTGTAGGTGACCACAGCAGGTCTGGGTCTGTAGACTCGGGCCGAAGTGGACCAGGAATTGCCGACGGCCCTCCGCAAAGTGTGGCTCAAACGGAGCCTGTAGGGGGTACGGAGAGGAGCCGGTCGGGGTCGGCGGAGTCCGGTAGAAGCGCCCGGAGCAGCAGGAGCGGTTCCGGTGCACCGCCTGCCCCGCCGCTGAACGTCCCGTACCAGGAGGGTGCCGCGATGGAGCGTAGCCGGTCCGGGTCGGCCGAGTCCGGTCGGAGCGGTGGGAGCGGCGGACGGCCGCCGTCGCTCTCACGTCACAGCCAATCCAACGACTCGATCCACAGTGCTGGCAGCAACCCCGCCCTGTCCTCCCAGCCTCCGTTACTCGAGGAGCAGAGCCCAGGCGATGGAGCGCCAAGCCCCCAGCCTGGTAGACCATCAGACGTTGGTCCCGGGGACTCACCGGAAGGAGCCGCCAGCCCTGACGAGCCCACACAGCCTCAACAGGGCGACGGGGAGCCCGAACCTCCGCCGCAAAACACCCGCCCTCCACAAGCCCGCCCCAGCGGCCATAGTCCCCCTCCCCCTCCCGCCCAAGCATCCCCAACTTCCCCATCTTCTCGCCCATGGAGGGATCCATGGCTCCACAGTTCCCCTTCGCTAGTAACTTCCCCAATGCGGGACCGAGCATGCCATCCCCCATACAGCACAGTGCCAGCAGCCCGTTCCAACCTGTCGCCACGCGGCCACAGCCTTTTCCCGCTAGAACTGAGCACAACGGCTTTCCCGGGGAAGGGCAGGATAGCACGCCAACGTCAGGCAACGACAATAACGCTGTGGACAGACAGGACAGGGAAGCGCCGCAGGTTGCGAGACAGCCTTCGAGAGAAGAGCATCACCAGCACGGAAGGGAGAACCTGCTAGAACGCGAGCCGCTGCCGCGGAGAGAGGACATGAGGAACGAGCCGAGAGAACGGAGGACGTCAGGACAGCGCGACGGCGCGGAAGGAGAGCAAAGCGTGCCACCTCCACCCATGCCTGCGCAGCCCCTCCCGAGTCAAACTCACCACGCAGGCATCCACTCGCATCACAGGAAACAGGAAGAGCGGCGGGAATCCACCCCCACGGCGTCACTCTGGGCATCGGACGTCCCCGCTAGCGTTCCCAGCGTGATTCTTGCACCTGCGGCCCCTCCCACGCTGACCCAGGCCCCGTCGGTCCAGCCCCATCCAGTCCCCATGTTCATCCCTGCTCCCAACCTCCCCAGCACCATGCAGGCCCCTCCTATTCCTGCTGCTAGTCCGCCTGAGAAACAACAACAACCACAACAGCCAACTCCTGCAAGTGCAATCCCGTCGTCCAGTGCCTTTGGTACACCTTTGAGCACAGCTGCTGCGTCCGCCCCGACCACATCTGCCACCACCCCCTCCTCTCAGCAGTCCCCACAGTCTCCCGACACCTACAGGAACGCTTCGGCACCTCCCCCGGACTCGACCAACCACGGTGCTCAACAACAAACCGTCCCGCCGGTGGCGTCGACCCAGAGCTACAGCACGCCTCCCTCGCGACAGACAAGCACGGCGTCAAATTCCTCTTACACCAGCCAATCGGGGAGACTCACAGAGGAGAGAACACAGGAGAGAAGGAACCCACAGGAAGGCCAGCCATCGCCATCCCGTAGCCCGCGGCAGGTTGCCGGAAATGAGTCCGAACCGGACGACCGTTACAGCCAACGTGGCCAGCCTCAGAAGCCTGCGGGGCATGCTACGCAACCAGCCGACACCCGACAACCATCAACACAGAGTAACCAACAACCATCGGATACGGATTACACGAGAACGCGGGACTACAGAGGGAGAGAAGGAGACACGGCGTACTCAGCACAGGAGCCTGAGAGACCGTCCAGTCGCTCCTCTAACCACGGTGGAGACAGGGACTGGGATAGGGACAAAGATGACAGGTATTCCTGGTACGACCAGAGGGATCGGAGGTATGACAGCAGGAGGGACTACTACCAGGAACGGGACTATCGCAGCAGGTAGGGCCTGTTTAGATCGTTATAATCATTGTAACCTAAATAGTACTACATGTACATTTGTATACTAGTAAATTGCTAAACTGTATGAACACTTGATCATTTTAAAGCATGTAAGCTATGTTATAGCATGTATGTGTAATATTGCCTGGGTAATGATATACAGTCATGTCTGCGTTACATTTGACGGAGGTTGCGTTAGCGGCGCGATACTGGTGCGCCGTCGGCGCGATAACGTCGCGACGATATCGCGACGATACCGCGTTACGGTAACGCAGTTTGTGTGGCCGGAGCCTCATAGGTAGCCCCGCGTCACCCGCGTTATTTCTCGAGTGATCGGTCGCGTTATCCATTCATATGCACGGGAGGGCGTCATGAGTTGATTAGTGCCCCGCCTACACAGCGTGCCGAAGTAACCATGGAGGTATTTTTCTACCTCCATGAAGTAACCAATTATATTCAGCTATTCCCGTGTTTTCGGTACTGAAATAAGCATATTCATACCTGTTTTTTTTATGTTCCACGTAGGTACCGGTTTTACTGACGTTTGTCAAAATCAAGACATTTAATGTTACGGATAAGCCTAAGGTAGGATAAGAAAACTTTGGAAGCGTAAGTTTTAGAGCACACTAGGACGTGTGCCCCGATCAGCGAAGCCACGCGGACTGACTGGGAGAAGTCGGTAGCGGAATACACATTTGCTTACGGGGAGGAAAGGCAACAGGCATTTTTTTAAAAACTCGTATGCGAAATATAAGTATTGAACAAACATCTCATGATTAATTGCATCCACCAAAACTCTGTAAATCAAAACAATAGTTTCGAATGTTGAGTCAAATCAGAAGTCTTGAGGAATGGACTAGTAATGACGATAATTGAAGTCAAAATTCACCCAAATCTCGCGACAGGCACTGCGCGCGGCGGTGCAAGCCTGTCAAAATTGATTGATGAACTCCTACAGGGCCGACAGGGCGGTCTGAGTTTCAGATCAAAGGTAGCGGCACAACCTAGCCCGGCTCTTTACTTATCCTATTATATAATATATTGTCCTTGGCCACACTCACCTTTTCGGTAAAAATACGTCAAACCAAGGTCCTTTGTTACTGTAAATTTTACCGACAGCGTCACGCTGAAGGGTATATGAAATTACGATCCCAGCAAAATAGGGCTTTTATTTTTTTTCTAAGATTGACGCCACTGACGTATGTGGAAAATGATTTTGGCAAAAAAAGAGGACAATTTATATACTGGGAACAAGGACATTATACCAGTACTATACCATCAGACCGTACTCGAATCACGCACCGGTAACATGTCCGGACATAAATGCTTGATACACGTGTAGATTCCCGGCCCGATCTTATATCAAGTCCCTGACTGTTTATTTGCATTACTTTGCGTTACTAGAGTCGTCTGTGTCGCTTTACTGTTGCAATCGTAAATAAAAAAAATTATGCTTTGCTGGAATTTTTGCAAAAAAAAATAGCTCGCTTCAAATGCTATCTTACTAGTATTCAAATCTCGATTAGGCGCATATTACTTGTTTCTTTGTTTGGTGAGCAAAGAAGAGCCACGTATCAAATTTTTTCGACGTTCGGTATAAATCAGATCTCCATGTGAACCAGTAAAATCGTGTAAAACGTTTAACTAGTCTTCTAAATTTTAACCGAAGATGTCTGTTGCTGTTACCATTATGGTCTACTAAAGTGCAACACTTTAGAAAATCCGTAATTTATGCAGTATTGTTATGCACGGTGAAGCACGCCGGTACATTGTCTGCTAATTAGCGGGATAAATCCCCAATCCGGCAATCGCGGCCGTGAACAGAACTGCTTCCAGTGGAAGCCCGACCCGGGCCGGGAGCTTGGCAGATCAGCGCCAGGCCGCCTGCCAGCCCCGCACCGCCGGCGGTATAATGGGTCAAAGGTCATTAAAGTACGTTTCAACGTTTCGGAACCTAGATATGCTGGAGCATGCTTTGGTACTTTTTGTACTATTTCTGTAAGCAGCGCTTCATACCGGCCATATGTACTTGAAGCTGAATATGATTACATACTCATCGCCCTATTTTCCTGAGTCAGATCGTCTCCGTAGGTTAAATTAAAGTTAGTTGTACTGTTGTACTTTCTTAACCATGTCCCTCGAAGAATGGACTAACTTTCGCGCCAAAGATAGACCTGGATTTTTGGTTATGTATGTGCAGACAACGCTACAACGGCCATCAAATTAATTTCTATTACATGTATTTTGTTGTGTACCCTGTATAGTGTATACCATTGCCGGTCCATAAAGGTCGTTGGTTACATGAATTTGTAACAATTTTTGGCTAGCAATGTGCTGCATAGTATTTGGAAAAAAGGTGCCTTAGCTTAATTTCGTTCTTCGCATCCATTTGGTAGGACTAGGGCTAAAGCATTAGAAAATTTAACAAGGTGCGACGGCTGGAGACGTAAAAAATATATATGTTGTATGAATATTTTAATTATTTCCGTGATATGTTTTTCAGGTTCATCCTCTTTGTGATCGAGTTACGAGACTGTGCGCAACATTTGCTGACTTTGCAGGATTAACATAACAGGATTACTTTCATTTTTTTCTCATTTGTTCCATTTTGAAGTTCGACTGTTGACTAGCAAGTTTTTGTTCCGTTTGGTTTGACGTTCGGTTGTTGGCTAGCAAGTTTTTGTTCCGTTTGGTTTGACGTTCGGTTGTTGGCTAGCAAGTTTTTTGTTCCGTTTGGTTTGACGTTCGGTTGTTTACTAGATTTTTTATTTCGTTTGACGTTGGTTTGTTGACGTCTGTTGACACCGATTTGTTATGTATTTGTTACGTTTTTGTATTATCTATTCCATATAAGTTCTTACTAACGAAACTTGACTACTAGTAACTGGCTTTCGCACAACTAACAATTTCATAACATTGAAGCTTAAAATGAAACGATGTTAACGATATTCTTAAGTATGATACATACAAGAAACGAAAAAAGCTATACATAGGACACGTCGGACAAATGAACTAGAAGATTGCAAACTGGTCACTGCTGAACCTGACCCCACGTGGAAGCGCCCCAGAGGTCGTCCCAGAAGGCGATGGGAGGATCTGCCCTTCGACTTCCTGAGGAGAGTGGGCGTCACCAAGGACTCCTGGAGAGTCCTCGCTGCTGACAGAAGCCTCTGGAGAGAGCTGTCTACGGCCGCCACGCTTCTACCATGAAGCCCGCGGATGATTGATTGATTGTAAACATAGTTTTTAAATATCTATCAAACGGTATACATTGTACTAGAAGTGATTGCATGTATGTGATCTTTACAAAAAAATCCTTACACGTAACCCATACTTTTATTTTCACTGCTTAATTTAAACTTATCTACATCCGTCACTACCTTTCAGAATTTCCACCTCAAATATACTACATGTATTAGTAGTCTAGTACATATGAAAATGCCAGCAGACCGGACTGGGAATAACTTTGGAGGGCTTCTCACGTCTTCTTCGTTTTGCGATATTCACTTCAGGTGTGAAGTTCCAATATCACGTTGAGGTGTCAATTACCATGTCAATTTGCATAATGGCTGTTTATTATGCTTGGGACCTTTGTTTTGGTTTTCGGTCTGAAAATTAATGACAGTATTCTTGACCAAAGAGGGGCAAATACGACAGCTATCCAGAACATTTTGAAACATTTCGCAGCCGAATTCGCCGAACACCAAAGACCAAGCCGACTTTGTGCCAACCTACACCTATAAAGCATGGTTGCGGGGAGTTCGGGAATTCGTGAATTGTCAATATTGACAAACGCTCTACAACTCACCCGTATAACCTGACAATCTTGTGTTGTAACCTTTACCTTTACCTTGTTCCATCCTCATGCCAGAGGGTCCGGGACTTGCTGACGATGACTGGCGTTGTTACAAGTTTTTTTTCTACTTCCAACTGTCCCTAACGTTGGAAAAAAAAACTCGCAAGCAACAACTTCCCAATGCGGGACCGTTCGGCTAAGATGTACACCATACAACACCAGCTCCCTTTCAGCGGTCTCTCTCTCTCTCGGACGCCATGTACCAACGTTTTACAAGTCAACAGTTGCCTATGATGACATACTAGAATACCACATATTATGCCGTATTACAGAAAACTTTTCAAGGGATTAAGGCGTTGTCGGCTTTAGAAAACAACACGGAACTACAATTTCTGCAAAAAAAGGTCAATAGGCGTGCTTATGCCATGTATGAAACCTGCTCCGTCAGTATTTCAGTTCGGTCGTCAATTTCAAGTACCTTTATATACAAGTCATCCTTTGCCTATAATATACTTGTATGCTACTTACCATGCCATATTACAGAAAGCGTTTTCAGGGGAATAAGGTGTTCTCGGTTTTGGAAAACAACACGAAACCATCAATTTTCATATAAGGCAGGACGTCAATGGACGTTTTCATGCGCTGTGAATGAAACCCGCGCTGTCCATATTTCGGTTCGGACGCCATGTACCAAAGTTTTACAAGTCAACAGTTACCTATGATGACATACTAAAATCCTATATATTATGCATATTACAGAAATACCTTTTCACGGACGTTAGGCGTTTTTGGTTTTAGAAAACAACACGGAACTACAATTTCTGCAAAAAAAGGTCAATAGGCGTGCTTATGCCATGTATGAAACCAGCGCTGTCAACATTTCGGTTCGGTCGTCAATTTCAAGCACATTACAAGTCATCCTTTCCCTATGATATACTAACTAGTAATTGTTTGTCTACTTACCATGCCATATTACAGACAGCCTTTTCAAGGGCATACGATGTTTTGGAAAACAACACGGAACTAGTTTGTTTGCAAAAAGGCTGTTCAATAGGCGTATTCATACGATACAGCCGTCAATATTTCAGTTCGGACATCATTTACAAGCACATTATAAGTCACCCGTTGCCTATAATAATATACTAACTTCCTACTTACCATGTCATATTGCAGAAAGATTTGTAAGGTGCTATGGCGTTGTCGG